TTGAATTTCGAATGTCGGTGAATACCAAGCAGAGATGCCCAGTGGGCGGGGAAACCTCCCCTTCTAAGCGAGCAATGGTCCGATCAACGATATCTGCTTTCTTCCCTGCCCTCTTTTTATTGATAGAGCTGTAGACATCTGGATCCACGAGCGAGTCTGTTATGGGCTGTCGAGAGCGGAAGAGGTCGGAGACGCATATTACCATGATCATGGTGTTTCCGTCCGCGCCATAGCTTATGGCAAAGTCACGTAGTTTCTGTGCCGCAATCATTGGGTCAGCTTCGGAGCGAGCGATGTCGACTGCGGTCTGGTAGGATATATACTGCCACAATCCACGGTTTCCGATGATCACGAACTCGTCGAGCTCGGTTAGCTGGCGAACGTAGATGTCGGGTCGCGCATTGACTACGGGAAAGTCGTGGAAATATCCAAAAGCTCGAGACGTATTAACCTCGTCATGGATGAGTCCCGTTGGCGATATCCAGCCCTCTGCGAGCCGGATGCGCCTCGCCTCATCCCGGTCATAAGGGTCATGATTCTTGGAAATGAGTTGTGCATTCCCTTGGCTTGAGATGACAGCAAGGGCATGCCCGACGTTAGCAACATACAGCGTTCTGCCGACCACATAAACCACAATTCCGGAGGCTCCTTGTCGTAGGTAAGAAGATTCGGGTCCAGAAGGACCGGTGGTAGTTGCACTGACTTGGGACATCTTACGAGATGGCTGTGAGTAGAGCTTGTCGTGAAGCTGCCTGTTTAGCTTCAGGAATGTGCGCCTCAATGCGTCCGTTACGCCATCCCTTCGCTCCCCCTTCTGGTCTTTCTTCAGTTGAAGAAGCTGCTCGGTGAAGACAGAGGCGAGATTGTCGTGCAGGTACTTTGACAGAGTATTGTTGCCGGGAAAAGCTTTAGTACGCCCAAACATTGCGAACAGGGCTTCATCCTTCTTCCCTCCGAACTCGGGCAAGACGAGATCGAGCGTGGTTAGGTACCCATCCCTCCCAATGGTGTCGGCAATGCCATATGACATTCCGTTAACTTCTGTCTGAGAAGTACGAACACGGCGTTCGTCAGAGTCTTCAGGGATATTGGGAAGGAAAGTGGTCATCACATCCATCAACCCGAGAACACGGAGCTGAGATAGTTGAGAGAAGTCGGAAAGTACCCTTCCATGTTCATCTACCACGCGCTTCCCACCGTTGTTCTGCTTTAGATCCAATTTCTTATTCCCTGACAGGTTAAGGTACTTCAAGTTACAATTGAAATTCCTGCCGGCGCCATGAGTAATTCAGTCATCTACGTTCAAACAATCGAAACATACCAGTTCCAATCAAATTCCCAATTATGGATGTTGTACCTTAACAGGTTACTGCCAGCGTCAAGGATGGTCAGACTGGGAATTTTGCCCAGTTCAGCGGGAAGTGTTTGAAATTTGTTCCCATTCAAGAACAACACCGATAATCTGGTCATTTTCACGAGGTCTTCAGTGGGAATACTAGTTAGCTGGTTGCCACTAAGATACAGTTCCTCAAGCTGCTGTAGATTGCGGAGGAAGGAAGTCGGTAGTTCCTGAATTTCATTGAAGGATAAATTGAGGACGCGAAGCTCCTTGAGGATGGTGAGCGGAGGGATTGCTTCCTCTGTAAGACGATTCTCTCCAATTGAAAGTCGCTCGAGAGAGTAAGCGAGGGGAGGGAGTGCTCGACTAGGTGCGTTGTGTATTGACATGGTGTATGTAGCATTTGAGGGCTTTCTTGGAATGTGGCCGGCTCGGGAGGGTGATGATGATGAGGGGATCTCGAGAGTTATTCCAGATGGTGCTGGTGCAATCAAGTTATCTCCGGGAGGATCGTGCCAACTAGCAAGCAGATTCGAGGTAACGTTGATATGCATTAGCGATGCGCAATTCCAGAGGCTCACAGGTAGCTCCGTCAAGCTGTTGTTATGAGCATCAAGGATTTCTAGGCGCTGAAGGAGGCCGATAGTGGAGGGCAAAGAGACGAGTTTGTTATCGCAACAGGAAAGGTGTATGAGATGGGAGAGTTCACCGAGGGAGTCTGGGAGCGTGCGGAGTTCATTGTGGTCAAGTTTCAGAGTTTTAAGGGCAGGGAGCTGAGAAAAATCGAATGCATCAAGAGAGGAAAGTTTAGCGTAGGAGACATCGAGCGTTGTGAGGGTGTGCGATATTTGTGGTGGAGAGCTAGGAGCGAATTTGAGAAATGTGATATCATTATGGGAGGCGTCCAGAACCGACAGGTTGGGACCAATGGACAGATGGAGGGCGTGAACGTAATTGTGATCGGCATAGAGAGTTTGGAGTTTGGGTAGGGTGTAGGCGATGGAAATGTCAGATATGTTATTTCTTCGACAGTCAAGTAATTGTAGGTTGACAAGATTCCTGCATTCTTCGGGTAACTTGACCACCTGATTCCCAATCAAAATCAGGCGCTCAAGAGTGACGAGGCGACCAATTTCCTCAGGAAGTTCCGTGATCATGTTGAAAGACATATCAAGCTCAACAAGACAGGGCAGCTGACAGATGACGCTGGGCACGTTCACGAACTTGTTATTCGAGATGTTTAGGAAGTTCAGAAATTTGAGGCGGGGAAAATACCAGGGTAGCTGCTCGATCCTATTATTCTGGAGTCTCAAGCTTGAGAGCTCAGGTATGCGGTCGAGACCAGCATCGTCCAAGTCCACGATGCGATTACACGACAAGTCGAGTCGATGTAGGCTGGTGGAATGCCGAACACTTTGAGGCACTTTCTTCATCGCCATGCTGCACAGTTTGAGATCGCGGAGGGTCGTGCAGGACTGTATAAAATCCAGGGGTATCTCGACCATTGGATTACGTGAGAGATTGAGATATACAATCGAGCTAGCGTTTTGATGGAGGACTATGGGGATGGTGGGTAGACTACAACCTGTCAGGTCGATCAGGTCGAATGCATCAAATGTAAGGTCCTCAGCCTAAAAGCAGGGGGTCAAGTCAGATAATAAGAATTTTTTTCCTGGACAACTTACTGCTGGACCAAGGAGTTGACTTTTATAAACGAATTTCATGAGGAAAGTCATATCTTCGGCACCGAGAAATGAAAGACTATCCGCTTGGTCGTATCCAGCCTGCTCCAATCGACGAATGACGATGGCAGCTGGCCTCTCAGTAGGTGCCAATACACGCTCTGAGAGCGATGAGAAACACAAGCAAGCGCATAGCTGTAAGACGTACCTCGTCCCCTCTCCTTGAGATATAGCTTATGTGTCTCACGCTCCTTGTGCGCAAATAGCTTCTGGTTAAGTGACGGGGTGAGCTCTGCAACAGTGGAGTGTATCGATATTGGGGCAACGTGATATGATCCGTCTGCACGATATATTCGAACGCGAACGCGGTCATTGCTTCCGCGAGAGGGCAGCCTACGCGGGTGGTTGCTTTTTCGACGGGATTTGCGTTTCGAACTAAGTCCCGAGCTGTTGAAAGATGATGTAGCATCTCTCGTGCTCTCTTCGGAGCTTGAGTCAGCCCCGACATCTACCTCCTCCTCACCGTCCTTCTCGACAGCCCAGCTCTCTGGAGCGGTCCACAGAGGTGTTTCATAAATAGTCATTCCAAACACATCTAGCTCCTCTGGTCCAACTGAAGAGGGCAAACTCTTTGGAGACAGCTTTCGAAAATCGATGCAAGCTTTTCGCTTGCTAGCAGGAGAAGTGGAAGAAAACGGATGTGGATTGTTGAACACGAAGGAAGTGGAGAGTGTAGGCGATGGCGGTTGCTGAAAGCTACTTCCAGAAGTACTGGCAATGCTTGGATCAATTGTACTTGATGGAGAAACGTTTGAGGGTACAATGTTCTGCCCAGAAAGGGACGGATTGACAATACCCTCCATGTGCGCAATTGACTCAAGGTCGATCTTCATCAATTCATCACCCTTTGCAGGGGATAATGGAGGACTTGGTGCATTGGGAAGTAGTCGTCCCTTTTGTTGTCGCCCTTTCTCCTTCCTGTCTTTCTTGAGTACTAGTGAGGGAGATGGAACGAAGGGGTTCATGAAAGTTTCTGTTGAAGCGGAGGGACAGGAAGAGATTAACGCCATCTGGGATGACGAGTTTGTATCTGAGGAGAGCCTTCCCCGGCTGCGCTTCTTGAGGATGTCGGTGAACTTCTTCATTTTTCCTCCTCTAGAACTTCCCTGCTCGCGTAAAGAGAAGTCGATCGGTTGACCATAGAAGTCTGAGAGGATTTGTGAATCGGCTCCTCCACGGTGTGGGTAAAGAATGTTGCTGGAGCTTCCTTGCCGAGAAGAGGTGAGGGATGAGAATGACGCCTTGCTCAACCCCATAGAACGTTTGATAAGGCTGGTCGAAATGAACTAGAAAGAAAGGAATATTTAATTATGTTCACTAAGACATCAAAGACAAGCCTTGGAAGATACGGCGCGCCTGACGCACATGGTAGGGGGCGAAAAGACTCACAGGCTCTTCAGTAAGAAAGGGGGCAATCTCTGGATGGTCCCCAGATTCTGGTTTCAGAAAGTCTGGGGGTACAAAACGTTGATGCGAGAATTGGATTGTGGCATCCTGCTCTAAAGAAGATGATGGTTCGGAAAGAATTAACTCTGTGTCAGACCCATAGTCATTCGAAGAAAGGTTAATGACATTCATGAGCGAATTGTCAGTGGCTTCCGGCCAGACACTTGATTTGGTGATACCCAGCTTGAGGATGCGTGCTGGCAAACTTAGCGTCGAGCTGAGAGTTAGAATGGGTCGCTAGAAAGATAAAAGAGAATAGATATGAAGATCAGAAAGAAACCAAGGACAAAAATTCTCACCGAAAAGCGTAATGAGACTAATTACAGGACTTCCAGCTCAGAACGGGCTGGATCCCAGGACTTTCAAACTACCCAACAGCCTTGCACAGGCGTCAGCCCGAGAACGATATTAATATTATTCCGTTCCCCATAATCCTTCCTCTTTGGGTTCTTTACAACACCCGTCGGAGTAACCGCCGGTCCGGTGGTAAATTATCCATAAATGGTATGTTACCCCGGTTTCGGTCAGACAGGGCTTGGCTCCAGTCACCCAGTGCATCGCAACTCAAGAATAACAACACTTGCTGGCGTCAACTAGTGCTGCGGGCTTCATCACCATGTCCTCCACCACGGTAGCATCATCCTCTGCGTCGTCTGCGTCGTCTATGGCGTCCTCCGCCACTGCTTCTGGCTCAAGCACTACCTTTCAATTACCCTCAAGCCTTAAAGTAGGCCGTTCATTATAGGGTTTTACTGCTCACCCTTAATTCATCCAGGTCGTCGGAATAGTACTCGCAGTAACGAGTGGCTTACTGATTGGCTCTAGTTTCGTCTTCAAAAAAAAGGGCTTATTGCGCTCGCAGGCCGGGCATGCAGCAGGCGAAGGAGTCGCGTACCTCAAATCTGTGAGAACCATCCCCGCCACCCTCAGTCTGTCATTAATCTTTGCTATCAAAGCCATTATGGTGGATAGGCATGACAAGTGAGTTCTCGTCTATCGCTACTTGCGCCGTGCATAACATGCGAATCCTCAAGTGATGATATGTGGAGAGTTGTGTAATTTTGTTGGTATGTCACTTGAACTCTCACACTATTCTATGCTGACCCTGCGAAGCATATGCGTTTGTTGAAGCACTTGTTGTGGTGCGTGTGAGGACCTCGTTCTCTATCATATATTCACTATGATGTCAAAAGACTCCTATGGGCGCACTATCTGTTGTAATATGTGCCATCCTATCTTCCATATTTCTCAACGAGAAACTCACCTTTTTCGGATGGATGGGTTGTGCCCTCTGTATTGTAAGTATCACCGATCCCTTGTCTTTTCTTGTACCAACGTCTGCCAGATTGGTTCCACCATCATTGCCCTCAACGGTAAGCATTCTACCGAACGAGTATCATATACCAAAGTTTATATATGTCTGGTGCACAAGGCCCACAAGAGCAAACACCTGGTCAGATAAATGATTTCAAGAAACTCTTCTTGGCACCTGGTTTCCTCGCTTACATATCTGCCCTAATTACCATTGCCCTCTCGATTATCTTTTACTTCGGACCCAAGTCAGTCACGTTTCACATGCTATCCCTCTCTTTCCCCCGTTTAGCTTTTCTTTTTTAGATATGGCAAGAGCAACATGCTCTGGTATATATCTGTGTGCAGCACTATCGGCGGCATAAGTGTGAGTGTCACGACCGGGCTCGGTGCAGCCATAGTCACCTCCATTATGGGAGTCAATCAGGCAAGTTGTTGTAATTATCATGACGTCTCATTAGTTGATGGTACCACAGTTCAAAAATTGGTTTATATACTTTTTACTGGCTTTTGTGGTAATGACACTACGTGCGTCATTAATATGCTTTCATTTCGCTCTATTAACGCGGCGCAGTAACGGAAATCTTCTACCTGAATAAATCACTTGCGCTATTCAATACTGGTTAGTGACAGAATAATTATGTGTGTACGCTTGGACTGAATTGTTACACTTGACAGCTATGGGTAAAGTTTGTTTTCTCATTAACACCACTGCACAACTGATTTGATCTGAACCAACTACTAACTATCACAGTAACACCTACGTACTACGTTTTATGTGCGTGACCTGTGCCCAATCACGTTGATTCACACTAATTACTTTAAACAGTTTCATTTTGTTCAATGGTCACAACCATCGTGCGCACAGAAGCAATTATCAATACCGTCTAACTACTCACACATCGTCACAGGTCCTCTTCCAAGGGCTCAGCTCCTCTGTCTCACAAATTCTCACCCTTGTCCTGGCCTTCCTCACAATATGCGTCGGCATCACAATCCTCCAAATGTCCAAGATTGATCCTACGCAGCTGAAACTTGATCGACGGTCCACCATGCTCCTTCAAGCCTCTCGCGCAACCACGGAAGACGCCGAGGAGAAAGGTATTGCCGGTGTGGAAAACCCCGGCATCGAAGCGTTGCGTGGCACGTTCGGCACCATGAGCAGCATCATCCGCGCCCGCTCAGCACGGAGGATGAGCCAATCAAGCAGGCACGCGAGCTCCTCTCTTCGGGCGCATCCAGATGGTCTACCTTCCACGCATGCAAACAACGCATATGATGGGTTGACACGTCATCAGCTATATGATGCCCCTGTGCCGCGGCTGTCCGAGACAGATCGCGCGTCGTCATTTTCGTCTGGATCAACCCCACATAGCCCGCGGAGAACAGCCATTAAATTCGGATCGCAAGATCTCGTGCATTCGTACCGCCTGCCAGGTAGTGGAGATGCGGATGCCACGCATGAACACAGGAACGCTGTGCACTCCCCACCGCCAATACATACAAACTCGTCATTCCACTATCCTCCTCCACCAGTCACTTCGTCGCCGCTTGGTATTTCGCAGTCGCTAGTTGTACCACCGCGTGCAAATGATGAGCCACTAACACCCACTGCGTCAACAGCGTACCACAATCCAATCAAGAGTGATCCATTCGAAACCCCGATAACTCCCGCAATGTCCGCATTCCCCCCGTCGTCTGATATGTTACTTACTAACTCTCCGCGAAGCTACCGAGGCCAGGAGCATGCGCGCCCCACAGAACGCACACGACGTAGCTCTGCAACGGGACAGCGGCGGTACCCGAGAGGTGTAGGTGACGAAGATGAGAGAATAAGCTTATGGGAGCGGGACTCGCATGCGCAGGAGATGTCCTCGGAAGAAGACGAGGAAGAGGATTCATCTCCGGTCCAGGGAATCAGGCTGGTGAAACCTAGTTCTAAGACATGGCTTTGATGAGATGTATGGTCAAAAATGGACTCGGACTGCTTGCTATTAGACAGCTTGGACTGATTGAATTGTTGCATCTACTTGCATGTAATTTCCTGTGTGCCTCGAGCTTCAGAATGCCGGATGGACGCATATGAAGTGAGATGAACTACATAGCGACACATTGATTGCGAACCTCTAGAGTAAGCTTTGCCAGCGAGGAACTTTCAAAAGGACATTCATTGTGAAGGCCGCTTTATCCTCTATGGCCGTGGATGTAACTTTCGTATTCTACTATCTATTTTTATTCATGAATCATACACATGTCACAGAAAGTCACGAACAGTCACACTTGCCGAATTTACAGTCCGCTCGGCAGTCGTCAGATTCGTGAAACATCGAGTGATTAGGATGGTAATATGAAGTGAGTCATATGTATCGAAACTTATGTAAATGTCAGTGATTAGTGCTGAGTATAATGGAATGGATGTGGAGGTGGGTATTGATATATTGATACATGTGTGAATCGTAATGTCCGTGATGCCCAGAGCCAGGTTGTGCAAAAAAATAATGGAGAATTTGGAGTTGAGGCCAGCGTGGCATGAAAGGTAGCGGCGGCAAGTAGCCAGGCTGATCAGAGGAGGCAGGTTCCAGCGGCAAATTTACGGGCGGCTCACAGTAGAGGCACGATGGTTTTCATTGACATCGGTGACCCTGGCTCAGGGTGTGCTTGCACATCTAATTCAATGTCCGACATCGGCATTAGCGGCAGGTTTTGCTGCTGTCACGGAGAAATGATCTTCACCATTTGTCTTCAGATTTGCTTCGTTTTACTTGGGACATGGTAATGTAGAATTTGCTTGGTGAAGTAGCTAAGCCAGTGATGCAAAGTAAGTGATGTAAATGAAAATCACGAAATTAATGGTGGGCAGGTCACGAGCTCGAGGGGATACTTCGTGCTGCAATAAGCAAGTCTGTATCATCCCCCGTGTCAGCGGCTCAAATTTGTGTCTGCTAGAGTTCGTGATCTCATCACAAGTAATGTACATCAACCACTAGCCAAACTCAACTTTGTCCAACTTCATCTACGCCCAACCGGATAATAAACAATGATCCCAAAAAAATCGCAATCATGTAAGTACCTGAAGTAATTTTTTTTTTGAAGTTTAACCTAAGAGTCCACTGCGCTGGGTAACCTCCAACCCTAGTGGCGGATTCCTCCCCGTCTCGAAACGTCACTCACGGTATCCTGACACCATCATAGGGTAACTATGACATGATAGAAGACAACAACAAGGTTGAGCTATGCGTGAGTATGCTCGTGAAACAGAACAGATAAGTCTACACAGCGCTATTGATAGCATCGACGAGAATGTTGTCATAGTCTCCACCAGCCTGCCACATAGCATATCCCAGCAGCCCAGTGTCTTTGATGAACGTGCCCTTGGCTGCGAACGAATCTGCGTTGTCGTAGGAGATCATCACCTCGGACGTTTCATTGTAAACGTAGGGCTGATAACAAACAAGTCCATCGGAATCAGAAAATAGACCCCCTTCTTCTCCGAGGGGCATACGCACCGTTTTGCTGCACGAGTCAAATCGATAGTAGATACCTTCCGCAGTCGTACCTTTCGAGTTGAGGAAGCCGCCGTCGATCAGTCCCCAGAAGTCAAAGGTACCTCCAGATCCTTGATGAATACCACAGGAATCCACGCTGGCGGTGTTATCCCATGCGTCCCCTACGGGCTGGTTAGATGAATTAAAAGCGGGGTAAGCGGCTAGCGTTTTTGTGCCTGACACGAACGCATCAGAGGGGCTGACATCATAAGAGTGTCCGTACGATGCAACACCCAGGACAATCTGATCAATAGGCATGCCGGCATTTGACCAGGCCTTGACTGCGGAAGCAGCTGAGCCTTGTTGCTCAGATGAGGCCGCACAGGAATCATCGAGTGGCGCATTAGGGCCAACAGCAGAGGACCATGAACCCCAAACATCATAGTCCATGATAGCAATGTAATCAAGAACTTCTGCAAAAGCGGAGACATCAGTTGACGGATTGCCGCTGGAATCACGAAATGGCGTCACAGACACCGCTGCCGAGATGGTGAGATTCAAGCAACTCTCTTCGCGAAGTTCTTGAAGAAAGGAAAGAAAATTGGCGGTGTCATCAGAGTTGACGACATTACATCCAATGCCTTGTTTACTCGGATACTCCCAGCTATATCAAAAAGTGAGTCAGGGATAGTTATGTTGGACTCATGGAGCTAATGCACATACTCAAAGTTAATACCATCTAGATCATATTTTCCGACAAAATCTAGCACCGTGTGGACGAATGCAGTGCGGTTTCTCGCTGTTGCGACGTTGGAAGAAAAGTAGATGCTACCGCCCCAACCTCCAATGGCAATATGGGCTTCGACACCCTGACACGTCATTGGCTCAGCGATTAAACATGCACACGAGTTGTCAATCTTACGTGTGCATGTGCTTCTGACACAAAGACAGGAAGCAACGAGCCATCTGACCCTTCAAGTGATATAGTATCCACATTTGAAGTGGTCGTTCTAGAAAACGTCGTCGTCGTCGTCAGTCTGTCTGATGCGTATGGTAGCTTCTACATACGCGAAGGAATAGTACATTGTGTTGTACTTGTTCCAGCTAACATTGGACAGCGGGTATCCTTCAGTAGCATGCCAGCCGGCATACCACGCGCCGGCAACCTTGGACGCATAAGCGGAAGGAAGAAACGTAAGGGAGGCCGCGAGCAGCAACTTGAACATCATGGCGTACGACGCTGATTCCGTAGTACGCAGCTTGAACGAACTCGGTTCCTACATGTCCATTACTTATACCATGAATGCAGCTGGCACCATGACTAGCATTAGTCGTACTGGCTACATAGGATCCGAGCAAGTGCAGAGTTGGACCCGAGAGAAGCAATCATCAAGTCCGAACAAGCATTTCTCCTATTGGGAAAAGAAAATATTGTCCATCATGCTCGCGACGACATGCACCGACGACACGGACACAATCGACACTAGTGAACGACTGCAAAGTTTAACTCCCACCAAACTTCAACTTAGTCTTGGCAAGTGGTCAAACGGTCCGGTTTGAACCTAAGTTAGCAAGTCTATCATAATTTCGCTTCAAGCGCGAGCTCCAAGCTTCGGTCCGACTCGTTGCAGACTAGCGGTTGGGATATTCGGTACAAGTAGTGCGAATTATCAGATGATGATCATTTCGACAAACGACATGCCGGCGTTCGTATTACGAACTTTGCTTATTTTTAACACAGCCACATCGTATTTTTGTGTCCGGGTCAGGGGAGGTGGGTCGTCGTACTGATGCCGGCTTGAAGTTTCATGATCCGGACCGCTGTAAGCTGCATTCTGCAGTTTATCGTCTTGTCATTTACTGACAGCCCCCCCAGAAATGCCACTTCTGTCACGCGTATGTCGACTCGTAGGGTCTAGGCCCCATCATGTGGTTTTGCCTTTAGAAAATCTTGCTCCGACCCTTGTTTCTAAATGAACATTCCACTGTGTGCGTCGCCCATACGGTGTTAGTCATGAAATAATAAAATTCGAGACTACCGGGTATATATCCGGGGAGCTTGCGACTCGGAGCGCGAGGTGATATACATACTTGTTCATATTATGTTCGGGGATAAAGAGTTTGGCCCAAGTATTGCCTCACAGGGGCCAAAAAATGAATCCGTCACAGCCCCAGGATGATCTTTCGCGAGCCTGTCGGCTAGCTTGGCAGAGGATTATGCGGAAAGAGAGTCCAAGTGCTTCACACCGAATGTCAGATCCATCGATCATGTTCGAGTCAGCCGTCGACGACGTACCAAATGAGTATCATCACACCACCACAAAGGAGCACAGGTACAATCATCGACTATGTGCGACACAACCAGCCAGTAAACCAAATAACAGCCTCGACCGAATACATGAGGTATAATGGGATAAGCGGAACGAAAGCGACAAAAGCATAGCGACGATAACATGCGAATATGCAGATGCAACGAGCATACAATAAACACACCATTACGGTGATGAGCAATCGAACAAACAGCATAAAATATCCAAGGGAATGACTCAAGAAGCAGATCAGGGGGCGGGGTACTATGGCCGTTTGTCTACAGATCGTTTTCGACCCGGCCTTATCACTTTTGGGTTACCTGTATTGCTTTCGGGTGGCGGAGAGCCGCTTCCTCGGGGAATCAGCGACCGGCGCTTTCTCATTCCCCGACGCGACTCAAGTGGATATTCGCATTTCAAATGCCTACGAGCGCACTGACTGAGAAACAAAGACACGAAAGTCAGCCCAATGTCGAAATAATTGATGGTGGCGCGGATATCAGCGAACAAGAGTGTGATGTTAATTAAGAAATGGATCGCACGAAACCGGAAAATCGTTACCACGCCGATAAGACACGAAGAAGCAAGGGACACATAATAGTACATTCCTGAATGGGCTGAGGACCGTGATACTCACTTGCATGTCTTGTCTTTACTACCCGGGACGGGTGGCCCACACGCGATTTTCCGGCCTCGGCAGAATAAGCATGCAAGCGCCGGTTTCTTATCCATCGATCGCTTTGGGTGGGGTGGCGGCGATATCCGTAATGCTCCCCTCGGGGACGGTGAACGTTGATAAGAGGATGCCGTTTTTCCGCCATGAGAGTGGGATATATTTTCGTTTGGGGAGTTGTAATGTTGTTGGTTTGTATGGATAAATGCTGGAGTGGGCGATTCGACCTCGACGAACATATAAGACTGGCTAGGGACAGTCATTGGGGCTTCCGATACATCACAATGCGAAGTGGACAAGAAAGTTGTACTACGAGGGGAACATGGAGAGGGAGAATGCGACATTGTATCTTGAGGCGAATAGGGTTGGAATTGACGAGGAGGGGCTGAATGAACGGGTGGTGGATAAGGAAGGTGATCCATAGGCGGCTCGTCGTCCAGCGTTGAAATATTTGGCTTTATATCTTCACTTTCATGAGCCATAGGAGAGAGTGCCCTCGTCGGGACGGCTCCCTCGTACACAGAAGCTGGTTGGCGAGAATGATGGAGGACGGTGCTCGATGATGAAAAGTCTGATGGATATGTAAGGCCCCCAAAGGCCTTATGATGCGGTCAAAAATCGAGCGCGATTAACATGATAGAAAGGACTCTACCTGGTGTGTGAGACTGGGATCACGTTTGATGGGATTCACGCCACTGTGTCTAGCAGAAACACGTGTACTGCTAGGTGCCTGTGCAGACCTTGAGGTGGACGACTGTCCCAGAGAGTCGAGTAAGGTGTATGATTTGGAGATCTGGAATGAAGATGGATTGCTGTGTGGAGTATATTGAATGGGGGTGGAGCACGGTGAGGAATCGCCGGGTGACTGCATGTGGGTTTGGCCTTGCAAGCTCCAACCGCCTTGATCCGAATCTTCGGGACACGGGATAAGAACAGGTTGACCATACATTCCAAAGAACTGGAGATCTGATTCGTCCAAAGAACTGAAGTATGCACCTGATTGAAGTTCTTCGAATGTGAAAGCGCGTTTTACTTTGACCTATGATGATGAGGTCTGGGTCAAGTATGATCGGTGCAGATGAAAATATTTACGTTAATATCAAAACCTTGGGGATAAGTGTTAGAGGGCCTGTTAGGCGCGTCAGGGTGACGCCAACATCGAGTGTCTTCGGGATGAGACATTGTAGTGAAGGGATGCGGGGGAATGTTTTGTGTAAAGGGAAGGGGGTGAGTTGACGGCAGGGAGTGTCTTTTATATATATTAAGACTAGGTACATTGCATATTTGGTTCACGACAAGCAAGCCTAAGCTAGGCTGAGTTTAGGAACCCACGCCTCTGGCAGGCTCGAAGAATCAGACCGTAATTATTTCTCGTAAGCAAAATGAGCCACAATCGCGTGAAATTCTCCATTTTTGAAGTAGCCTCTACCTTTAATTTGATTTCGTAAAAAGATAACAATATAAAAATATTTAACCAGATCCGATCGAAATACTCTTCCACTGCGAAGTACTACTACTCCAGAGAAACATGACACGCCTTAACCTGCGGTTCGCTTACAACTACTGAATCCGACAAAAACTTCCCCATCGGTAACTTTTCACCGAATAAATCGCACTTCCAACTTCGAATTTGGCTCTCACTGGATCTTTCCGACAGACACCTCGCCCGGGAGCTAGGCCATAAGACTAAATCTCCTAACACTCGATATAACTAGATCCCACTCATGATACAGAGTCGAGTGCATCAGGAAACTCGATAGCCTCCGTCGTCCGCGCAGCTTCTCCATAAGTAAGCACCCCAACATACGGCATCACATTATATTTCAGCGAATATTCAGCGGCAAGTACGTTGCTACCCGACTCGTCAGCATCTCGGAGGGGCTCGTCATCGGATTCCGACTCACCTGAACGAACCCGACAGCTCGCGAAGTCTGTACTTTTCTTTCTGTACAATGTCAATCGTAGCAGCCTCTTTTGTCCGAATAATCCGATCCCAAACAACGACCGTGTTATTGATCTTCAGAAGTACATCAGACAATACATTCAATCTCGGATGGTAAATTGCTTACCCCTTGTGCGTTTGTGTACTCTGCCTCAAGGTACACGAATAACTGCTTCGTGTTCCAGTGAAAAAGTGGCGTCAAGTCTATAACGACACCCAGCGATCGCAAAATCAAATCACGTATAAGAGACCGCGATTGCGCGACAGAAAATGGTGGATCCCCGGTGAGGCTCTTCCGCTGTCATCGCGATGAAAAAAATACGTACCGGCAGAAAGATTAAATTTAACAAAACCAATTTCCTCATTCCTGAAAGGATAACGTCTCGTTTTGGAGTGAAACCTAAGGGAATGTCATGGGTAAGTCTCTGACGTGTGATACACAACAAAGGTAGGACTCTATAGCGCAAGAAATCGAGTCACTTACACCTTCAGAGAGACGATATCCAGACTACCCTTGGGATCCGCATTGAAGAGGAAGGTGGAAAGAGCTACAGCTCCAAGCAAAACCATCATGCACGTCGACCAAAGGCCAGATATACCATTCGCTCGAGCATAAATGCTATGCATCCTGTAACCCGCGCGCAAGAGAATGAAGAAGCTGGAATATGACAACTGTTTCGAGTAAAGGACAAACCAGTATCTGCCACGCCGTGCATGCGTCGAGACGTCACGTACAAACACGTATGAATACCACGACTTCCATTTTAGGCTATTTTGGTTTCAATTGCTGCAATTTATTTTGAGTGCAAGCCAACATGTGCCCCACAATTCAGTTCACGTTGCTAACCTGAATCATTAATTATTGAAGCATATGATGCATAGTGCGTGGTGCATTCTAAAACACATGTTCTGGCAGTTTTTTTTGGCTCATGAAAAGGTGAGGCATACATATATATATGTGCCAGCTGCTTAACGACCCTCCACCTGAAGGGTCCTTTATGACCGCGCTATTGAGTCTCCACCCACCGCTATCAGACGAGCTATATATCTTACGCTAATCAATTTTAGGCCTCAATTCCGATCATTAAGGCTAGGATGCATCTGGCAGGCAGCAGGTTCCTACTGGCCAAGGCCAGGACGGATTCGGCGTATAATTAACGGGCGAACGCTGTCCTATGAAAACGTCGCATTTCATACATTCATCTGAACATAGTCCCACAATCTTGCCATTATTGGAGCAACAACATTCTCCGATCGATACCAGAAGAAACCCAACCAACCATCACATGCTTCCAACATGGCTTCAATCATATCGCCTGCACCATACCGCCAGGACATCTAGTCCCACTCAAGCATAAACTTTCCTACTTCTGCCACTGGGCGCTGTTCTACTACCACAAATGCACCTCTTTCCCTGTCTGGTATGGCTATCGCATTGGGTTTGGTCCATCGTTTATATCTGTTTATAAACTTCTAGTCTCTTCAGTTGTTTGCTTCCCAAGATGCGCCACAGTCCAGGCTACCCAATCAAATGTACGTATCACATTCAATTTCTGCCTAGACCCAGCGCTTGACTGCTTGTCTCTTGACCGTGTCGTAAATCACCAAACATCTTATCTGATGTCATGCTCGAATATGACACAACCTTTTCCTTTTTGATTGCGTATGATCGTGGGGTAATAGCTGCGTATGGCCCATCTGGCATTTCCATGGACACTCGAAAACTCGTCGTAAGCTTTCATTTCCGCATACAATACAATGGCTGATTTTTGAGCATGTGCTCTAACGCTATTCGGATCTTTCATAGATGGTGATAGCAGGGTTTTTATTAAGCTCGCAAGTTGACGTGCTGGTGGTGTTCTATTTCTTGGAAACTGTGCTTTATCGTCCTGTTGTTGCTCTCATATTGATGTCTACTTAATATCGAGTGTTGATAGGTCCAGTCATATGATACACGTCCATCACGTAGAACAGGCTGTCCTCCCTGCCCCACTACAGATAGGCCCCAGGGTCCATAATAATTTCTCATCATTTTTTTTTCATTGCTCGGGCTCGGTGTCGTCACGGCCTATAGGTTAAAAAGAAGAAGGGACAGGAAGATAGTGGCGGCTCAACGTTCTCCTGGTTAATTGCCGTCCGAGCACCGGAACATTCCCAAAAAGATAATTTGACCATACACGAAAGATCTTCAGGGCTGTGAACATGTCTCCTGGTAGAAACGGGGGTGATGCTGCTCGTCGTCTGTGTATACCTTCCCCGAAAGCACTTGGGACGGGGACATCAATACGCAGTCCAGTAATGAAGGTGATAACTTCTGACAAGAATGCAACCTGTTGACAGCCAAATTAACGCGAGGCAAAGTCACCCTTGAATAAGTTTGAAGTCCATAGGTACACATCCTGCAATCACTCTGGTATACGGACGAGGTTAATCGTCTTCCTGCTTGAGACTCGTGCTACTTGGCACCCATACCAGGTCTTCCTCATCTTTCTCACTTTCACATGCCGTACCGTCTTCGTCACTAGTGAGTGCCCAATCTCCCTCGATCTTCCTATCCAACGTTGCGATCTTCGCACCACGAGCACGAAGGAATGCAATCACCTCGCGTGCTCGCCTGTATCCCTTGGCGTTAGATACTGCGTCGTCATCCTTCTCATCATCATCTGTCGAAGAGGTCGGTGAATTTTCTTCAACCCAGCCGAACCTCTTTGCCAAGTGGATGCTCGCGACCACGTTCTTCCCATCCCCGCTTGCCTCCAAGGTCGTCAAAAACTCAGCAAGAGCCTTCACAGCCTCTCCACGTGCCCGAAGTAAATGCCTCATGATTCTTCTTGACGAAGGCCTCCGGCGGGGTGCAATCTTGACAGGCGGCTCATCGGTAAACTGTGTTGGTAAGGATGAGTGTATTGATGATGTGCCTGGAGTAGAGGAATTTGAACGATTCTTATCGATCCAAGGATTCTCAGGGGGTACTAGCGGGGTTGTATATTGAGACAGTGCAGACATAGAAAGCTCCCATCGCCTAGGCGCCCATACGCCAACGAGAACGCGCCATGCTGCAATCACACGCTTGAGACTTGACAATTATGAGCAAGCTAACAAGGATATGAAATCACAATGATTGAACTTACTTCATATAGATATCTGTAAGTGAGTTTCCATTACGCTGTCAGTATAGCTCACATGCTCACGGTCTAAATATACGTGCCATTGATTAATCTATTGTGATAATATGCAAACGCCCAGACTGTGAACGCTGCCACAAGAGCACCAGTGCCTGTGTACCAGAGCAGCGCCCAGAGTGCCCAGAACGTAGCAGGGTAAATCATCATGCACGATAACAAGCCAAAAACGGCTTTGTTCTGTGCCTGAGTCTCTTCTTCGTGCTGGACTAAACCAGCTCCAATCCGACCCATGACATATACCGGTGTGTGAAGTAGAAGCGGGATGAGGAAGAAAGGAAGGCGAGTGAGGGCAGCAAGCGTGTCGCGAACAAGGACAGAGAGCGTTAACAAACGTGACGGAAGGGGGGTGGGATGAGATGGAGATAGCATTGGCGGAAGTGGAAGTGACGACAAGACGGAGTTCGTAAGATTCGTAGATTGAAGAAGTGAATAATAACCCAAAAGATGGCGCCGAACAGTCGAGAAGTTTGGAACAGCGTCCGGTGTGGAAAAAAGATCAACGAGACTATGACAGTACGTGAGCTGCCGATACGAGTGAATAAAAAAAGTGGGAAGACGTACGTCTGTGAAATCGTGACAAATTCTTCAAGATCGATCGAACGCTCATCTTCCCAGAGAAGATCCCTTGCCATTCGAGCACTGTAGAGGGTATCCCTAATTAATACATAATCAGAGTCCGCACACATCGCGATGAAATAATATAATACCAGTCAGGAGCATTGATGGTTGCCTCAACCAGCTCCCTCTCGATTGTACGCGTGAGGCGCTTTGCCGCTGCGCGCGGCGCCCCCTCTAAATCCGAAAAGAACTGTTCCTTGTACTCATCCATTGAAATTGGTTCACCAAACCTAATGACTCATCAGCACAAGTACTATATTACCACGCTGACTAAATCTCACTTCACGATGACCTGTGCTGGCGTTAGTGAAATACCATTCAAGGAATTTGGGAACATACACTGCTTCGGTACTTCGACTTATTCGTATACACGATAGCGGCGGGAATGATCCGGACTCCGGGACCACTCACGCCGTTCTCCGCCGCCCATTTAGCGTATTCTAGTGCAGCCCAGGCAGCACCATCTTTTACTTGCATGATCCTCGGCTCAGTGTAAGATGTGCCCTCAGGGAAAAGCGCAACCGCATCTCCCCGCGCAAGGGCTTCAATAGTTCCTCGGAATAAATCTTGCCGGTTCTTAGACTTCCGGTCTACAGGAATATTGCCAGACGAGTGAAGTACCCAAGATAGGACTGGGTTCGCAAAAAGTGATGCTACAAAGTAAGGCGTAATGTGTTAACGGGATTGAGCGTTCCGATAAGGCTTGGGCTCACCTTTACTCCAGTAGTGTAGAACACGACGATGCGGGAAGCTGGACGCTATGAAAGATATGATGAGCGCATGCCGAATCTACGAGAGGAACTATAAGACTAACAAAGGATAGCAGGATCAATCATCATGTTATGGTGAGTGGCGGTGCTGCAAACAGCAAGTCAGTATCGGTTCTAGACTCTCTTCAGGCGCCGCAGATGCAGATGGCCCAACATATTTGGGGGTCAAGAGCTACGGCGGTAGATTCCTTTACGTTCCCAGGTCCATCCAATTTAGTCCTCCAACTTCTAAGCGCTCTCATGGGTCCAATGCAAACACGGGCCCGAGTGTGCCAGTCGATAGACAAGTAATACAATATACGAAACTTACACGATGATCGGTCCATCCAATGGAACGTGCTCGCCTCCAATCACACGTACTTCTGTGAAGAACGACCAGATAGACCAGTCTGCAATGCGACGGATGATGAGGTGTAATACTTTCGAGTCGGACATGTTGATGAGTTGGCCGGAACTTTATGGGAGTAATAAGGCGCGAATATACGTTGTGATAAAGCAAGAGTTATTGGTGCGGCGGCGCAGAGCAGAGCTCAGCGGGGAGAGAAACTACTCGGAACACTGCAAAATGTTGCGCGGCCTGAAAAGGTGCAATAACGGCAACTTTGATGTAAAACACGTGCGCTACCATTGCTCCCGCACAGACATTCGACTTGAACCCCTCTGGCCACGATTAAGCACCTGTCTTGCTCAGCTTGGTGCTGGAACTGTATTCCCATGTATGCATGGCTGGCTTCCAGTTACTAAATTCCACACCTAATAGCTAATCTCCCCTAGTTAGACCTTATAGAAGAGAGGCAGTTGTTCCCCTAAAGTAGCTGCTGGCATGCATTACTTAATAGTACCACTCAGTCAAGCTGCTTAATCGCCCAAAACGAGATTCTTGCGCACTGAAGACACCCCCTGAGTACAGTAGCAAGCAGAAAGAGAGAATTCACAACACACCTTTTGGAAACTCTCGCAGTTGCGCTTCTCGCTGAGACAAAAGACAGGAGAGTAGTAGTGGAAAGAGCTGATCACTTGGGAAATGGGGACTTGGCAGGACAGAGACATGGTCCCATTAAGGCAGAATATCTTCGTCACATGAGCAGTTTCAAAAGTGCCACAGTGATTCGTACAATAATACACAATGGGAACTCAACTAGTACAACCTCGTCCATGTGACTTCCTGCAATAAATCCATGGACGCCTTCATGATAGACGCACTAGGAGTATGACTGAGAACAGAAATATACACACATGCGAAAATAAGGGGCTAAAGAGGGAGGTTCATCGGCTATCACGAATATCTGGGTCATACCGAAATTGCAGATGTCAGATGCAAACGGTAGGATCCGATGCAATCGCTTCCCCATGTCTATCAGCATCTTAAACTAAAGAAAGAAGGGTACTCACGCTGTTCAAAATACACCATATGTGGGGGATTGATACCAGTCGATGCTGTGCAGAAGCCACGTCAAACACAAGAAGGCACGGACACAACGAAGTAGACATACGTATGGATGCACTGCCTTCCGGGTCTTCGCCGCCCACACATCTACGAACGTGGCGCGGGGCCGCTAAACGTTATGTCAGTGGAATTCTTTGAAAGGACAAAGTGTTTCGAACGTGGTTCGGTAAACTGCCAATATTCCGTAGCGCTGATAACCAATATGTAAGCTCGTGGTGATTATATAGAAAATTAGACTTCACTGATGCCTATATCCCAGCCTCGTAGGAATCACCGTCGGCACGCCATCTAAAAACGGCATTGATTTAGTTCTAAACAAACATAGATCACACAATATACCGAATGAATGCACGCCTGTAGTGACATGTGAGACCAGAGTAAGCGAGACATGCTCTCCGAGGGACACGAAAAGAGCGTACCTCGAAAAATATTATCCAGTCCAATCACAGTTTCCACGAGCTCAGCAAATGAAGGATCCCCTGTCCTTGGCTGGCCTGTCGGTCATATTCAGTAACATCGCGCGATAGGGGTATGAGAGATCAAGTACCAAATGTGAATAATCGCAGCGGATTATCAGGGAAACTGTTCCTGATAGATAATGCTGCAATGGATGCAATGGCACCCTACTCGAGGGCATTAACATAAGTCATATCCATATCACAAAGAGGCACGATCCGACGCACCCCAAGCGAATGACCTGCAGGCACAATTAATTTGCGTATATTGAGAAACCACAGCGTGGCTTACCTGTCACAGCTACATCATACTGCGGAAACTTATCAAACTGCTCGCGTAAAACATCAAGTACGCGATCTCCGACGCTTTTAAACGCATAAAGAAAGCCTGTATGCACGTGGGTATCTGTATCCTTTGGCAGCCCTGGTCCACGCAGCGGGGAAAGCAGGATAGACGTAACTAGCGTGCCGTCGGGTGTCAGAAATTGCCATCTTAGAATCTTGCGCTTCGAGATTTACCAGCAATCGCGTTCGCAACCTCACGGCTACCCCTGAATGAAACCACGAGTTCTTTCCTTGTGTCATCGCGAGCAACGAATCCTTGGGTAGCCGTGATTAGATCTATAAACTGCAAGTCATTCAAGCTAACATCAGCACGCGACCGACCACAACTTATATGTAGGCTGTATGCGCACCTGGGTAACCAGTGTGTTTCCCATCGGACGCGGGCACAGGACTTGATACGCGCCAGACGCATACTTTGTGTATCTCACAAGCTCATCGTACAATTCCTCGGATATACCATTGTCAGGATCATGCACCGTACCTGGAAAGTGGGGCCACTTCCAGCACGAGCGGGGATCACGCGATGTGTCGTCGGGCGGATTGCTGTACTAATCGTTACAATGGAAGCGTGCAGCATGAACAGAACACATACTTGTGCATGATGGTTCAGGGTCAAGTTGAAGGAACTGAGTCTGAGATCGCTAGATCCGGAAAGCCATTGGCGGGATCGATTCTGACATGGAACTAAGACACATCTAAGCCTTATAGTCATTCCGAGCAATCAGGTACTCTGTGAATTGATTTAGCTGGAGCTTCTTACAGACGGGCGCACCAGCGAGAGTCGAAGTTTAACACACGCGTTCGCTGAGCTCCGCGATTGATGTTTTATTACCACCGAGGGTGGGCATCGCCCTTGCAGCTTCCAAACAACGTGATTGTGCTATTGTCTACAGTGCGGGGCATCAAGTCATTACAATGCGTAAATGTACAGAATGAGTGTGATGGTTAGAATGTACAATGAATGTGAATCGTTTGCGAAATATATGAACGAGTGTCAAGTAAACGCCAGCGCTCAAATTTAATAAAGATATAAAATGTATGCTTGTTGATCTCGGACTCCTGAGGAGTCCAGCGACTCTGATGATGGACATGATATGCAACAGGGCTCCGGTTTCTGCTCGGTCTTCAATAGGACGAGCGTCTCCCAGAGCTACGGTGATTCACCGGTCCGCCCCTTCCATTGCCTGAACCAGGTGACATAAACCCTAGCAAGCGCTTAAACAGAGGCTGAGGTTTCTTCTGAGCTGGTGGCTATTTTTGCATATGGCAAATATTCACGATGCGAGGGTAAAACAAACGACGAGCATCAGCGTCGATACAATGATGCACGCGGACTGGTAAAGGCGCACCCCATAGTGATACTCCAAACGACCATTAGGGGCATGGTACGTGTGCACCGGACGTGAAGGTTGGTGGTACGTCGTCCGTTGGTGAGATCCGTGTCCGTGGGACTGCTCTGGATAATAATATGCCGGAGATGTGTGTTGCCGCACGGGCTGCGATTGCTTCTGCGGGTAGGGATAGGGCTGGGTGCGTTGGTACTGATGTGTGGGGGCCGCAGGTGGCGGATACATGACTTGTACAGTATGCGAGCGTGATGGTGGCTTGCGTGCTGAGCTACTGCGAGAATGCGATGCAGTCTGTATGTCGGTACGGCTGGAGTGGGGATATGACCACATATCGATAGGCTGCGAGTGAGAAGCTGAACGCGAACGAGAAGATGTGTGCCTATATGGATCTTCATGCCTCGGGGGGGACATATCGAAAGTTTTTGAACGGCTGGGCGCAGGGCGCTGCCGTCTTCCACTTGGCTCGTCATAGAACGAGCGGTCGCGCAATGTGGGCGACATGACGAAGGGATTGGAGTAGGAATGAGCTTGAGCAGTTGTCTGGGATACCCAGTTTGAAACCCGTGCTTGTTGAGCACGGTAATGCTCCCATGCTGCGGGTGAATAATCGTATTCAGTCATGAGTGCTGGTGGACAGATGAAAAAATGCTGTTGATATATGTACAGATGGATGGATGATACGATATGAAGTTCCAGGTGGAATGTGGCGTTGGCAGATGGAGATGGTTGTCTGTAACACAAAGACCAACTGGTGAGATTCTGAGGGCAAGGCGATAATATCAAGGAAATCGATCTTGACCAATCTAGTTAATGAGACCGCGGAGAAATGGTGGCCCGTTATATAAATTGGCTCCAATAGTGAGCCGACAGGCCACCGAAAATAACGCAGGGAACAACAACGTTTCCTATGCACGAGGAGGCGCAACAGCTAGCATTCTTTATTGTCATGCTTACGTAAACAACAAACACTGGCTCAGCAATACATACAATGCATGTCTATGACCCGCAAGCACTAGGTAAAACATTCGTACCAACTGGACTGCCAAGAGGATGGCTGCGAGCGCTTCGTACCCCAATTCAATATCCACGATCCGATGTCCGACTTTCGACGCGTTGCCTAATCCAATTTCCAGTGGAAGGTCGGTAGGCTCGCGCCTACGTGACGAAGCTGTAGTAACAAGCTCCGGAAAATACCCGCAAGATGGACGATAATCCGGAGATGCGCGTTGTTGTATAGATCATCGCAGTAGTAGTAAACACTGATAACGATGGTAGCCATCGATTCATACCCATTTGACAACGACAATGCGCCCAGGTCTGGGAAACTTGGCGGCAGTGGTCCTCCTCTACGAAACATTTGATCTACGTGGCCATTTATGAACATCGTAGCTGGCTTTCCCCTCGACAACATCATCTCACCTCAACACCCTTATCTCCTTCGTGCGTGCTTTACCTCTATCAATTTCAATTTTCTGCCTATCGCATTCAGGAACTTCGACCTTCTGACATATATTTTCAGATGGGAAGAGCTGGCCAAGTGCATCATTTCCCGAACAATTCACTCGCCACTCTTCCTTCTGGCTTCGGACCGCTAAACGTTGCACGATACGTTTTGTGATTGGTAAGAACGCGATTGACGGCCATGATGGAACCACATCATGCCTTTAGTATGGTAACATGGTTGATCGAAACACAGACGCTGAAACACTGCCTTGGCACTGCCCCTCCGTTGCCCTTTTGGATTTCTTTTGTTGGCTGATATGGCAGGTACATAGAGATGCCTATTTTATCCATCTCCGAGTCACTAGCATGAACCCTCCATCATTCTGCTTACCAGGATTAGCCAAGGTATGACAATTAGCGCAGATCGACCAGCGGCGGAGGAGAGTCAGGAGACCTCGGTTCAGCTTTGCTACGCCCTATCCTACTCCTCATTGAATGCCTCCCCTAGAGCCTTGATGTCATCTGGTCCAGTTTTACAGCAACCGCCGAAGATGATCTCGTTCCAGCCCCTCGTCTTGGCCTCTTTGACAAGGCTGGCCAGATCCTCCGCCCATCGATCACTCTCCTCGGGCTCTTGGAATGCTTGAGTAGACAAATCAAATCCGCCCCCTCCGTTCGGTTGCAAAACTAGGAACAGTTTCCTATTCCCATCCAACACCCGTTCAAAGTCTTGGAGTAACTGCGGAACATACTTGAGCGCCGTGCAATTGATACCGATACCGTTTGGTACTAGCATATTGTCGCTGCTGTGTATCATAGCGATGGCGGCTTCGCTAGGGGTATAGTGATCTCCCCCGGGTTGCCGGGTTTCTGGATACTTGCCGTTGGGAAACGTCGCAGTGATCCACCAAGGTTTAGGAGTGATGATCTCCTTCATATTCGTCATTGCTTGCCTGATCGCCTCCACCTCTCTCACCAGCGGCACCGTCTCGAACGCAATGAAATCGATCTTGTCCCACGTCTCCTTATCAGATGTGAATACCCGAAGCCGATTCTCGTGAAAACGTGTCAACGCCTTTATGGAGTTGCTCTTGCCTTCAATATCATCTCCGAAGGAGGTGGTATTTTCCTCTGAGTCGCTGTACGCTCGTGGTCCGTATGGAAGAGGATAAATCCCACCAAAATCTTGCATAGGGGCAAGTACAGCTCCAAAGGGACCAAGGGAGAGGGCGATATGTATATCCTTTGGGCTGATATCAAGGTGTTCGTTACAAAATTGATGTCTGGCTTTGTCTGCTATGTGAATAGCATTGCGCATAGACTCGGTGGCTATTTCGTGAGAGTACCCTGCGCGCTCGAATGATTCGAATGCAGCCTGGTAGCTGTGGATGACTAGTGGATAACTTGCGGAAAAGCACAGCAAAGTTACTTACGTTGCTGTGAGGAGGACCCTTGATCCAGCCTCGAGGAACGCAAGATGAGCTTGTTGGAGGGTATCTGGTGCATCAAGGATGATCCGCGCTGACCACAAAGGGGTGTGCGAGATCGGGAGATGGAAATGATCTTCTAGGGTAGTGCCCTGTGGCAAAAAAAAAATAAGCTTGTGTATACAAAGAAAGAGTACGGTAACTTACGAGACCTCCATCGGACAATAGTGTTGTATTTTTGAGCATCGTTTGGCTGGTGAACGTGATAACTTGAAAAAGAGGAGATAGGCTACTCGAAACACCGACCGTCGCGATGTTTTCCGATGACGTCATATAACGTTATCATGACAAAAACGACATCGCAACGTTTTCGCCATTCAAGAATCAAATGCATGCAGGTTCACAGAGTCCGGGTCTGAGTCTCACTAGCACTGGAGTAGTAAGCATAACTTTAAATTACAGCATCACGTTTGTACCAACGTACTAGTAGGACCCTTGCAAACAACGGACACCACGAAGTCGGACAGCCTGCCACACAGTGACGGTATTTTACTATGTGGGCCCCAGGTCATGGCTAGAGCGCCAAACCCACCGTACTATTATTAGAATTTCTGCTCGTCGTATTCTCCACTCATCTATTAGCGAGCATGTGGAGTCACAATCTCGTATATTCGCCCAGGTCCGCGTCTGATGATCGATCCAAACTTCACTCCAGCCTTGCCATGTCCCTTCGCACCAGATTCCAGCAAGGAAGCGTGCCAGTAACGCAGATGAGGCCATCGATCTTCATCGGGCTGCGCTGGCGCTCCGTTCCCCCGGCCATCGTAATAGATCCATATCTCTCGCCGAACTTCCCACCAGCCTTCACAGCAAGTTTCAGCACCGTGGCGTCCTGTCCGAGTCCGACCTGGATGAAACCATCAAGCTCAGTCAAGTTGCTCTGGCACTTCGTGCACCCGGCCATCACCTCTAGGCTCCGATCCATGTCTCTCGACAACCATGCCAGAAGCCATCGAGGAGGACATCCTGGCTAGCCTGGACGGGACCATCGAGCTCAATCGAGCTGCACGGACACTGCTCTCTTGGCCATTCCTTTCGATCCTGGCCTCTCAGCGGCCTCGCCATCAGCCTTCAACACAGATTCGACGAGCAGGGCCATGTCAGCGGTTTTCAAACAAGATTCTGGCAGCGAGACGTTATATCTGACTTGAACGAGGCCATCGAGCTCAATTGGGCTGCACTAATACTCCAGTCTTCCCAACTATCCCCGTCGATCCATATCTCTCAACGTTCTTCCCGTGAACATTCACGACAGATTCCACCAGCAGCGTGTCATGTTTGATCTGTATGAAGCTATCGAGCTCCATCAAGCTGCACTGAAGCAAATTAGCTTTCGTCTGCGTATAACTTGGGATTATGTTGTCTCCCGTATCCGCATGTTGCCTGCCTTTTCTGTTCCCTCCACTGTTCTCCGACCTCCAGAAAGCGGGCGAAGATGGTCCAGTCATCATTATCGATACAACGGGTACAGCTGCGACGAATTGGTTACTCTTCATACTCTCGAACCTGTTCACGTCGTGCTTGATGTTTCACAGATGGAGGCCTCCAAATGGTCCTCCCTTCACAGCTCATGCCGGCTCATCTGATCATCAGATGTAATTAAGTAAGATTGTTGGCATCTTACGCAAGTTCTGGAAGGGTATCATTAGCTCCATGGTTGAAATGCTCAGGCAATTCATTCCTTGTGGCTGCATTTAGTGGTGCCCTACCGCAGAGCCCCACATGCTCGCAGCAACACCCTACGAGCCGAAGAGCCATAATTCCTCCTACTTTCACATCTCCTCTTACACCCTTGGCAGCACTCATTTGTGCGATCGAGTGTCTCAAGATGCCTCCATTCAGAATTTATTTGCCATTGGTCAAACGAAGCCGGACGGACGGAGTGCACCTTGCTGTGCTGCCAGCGAGCTAGATACCCGTCGCGCCATTCCTATTCTTTCCGTCGCTCTCAGATAACGAAGCAACTGTCCAGGGTGCCTTGGACACACTGAGCTGCATCCAGTAATTGGCTCTATCTTGCCTGTCATGGAATACCGAATCGAAAACGACCATCCGAGGCTTCCTTCGATATGCATGATGGACGTTTGAGACTGAGTGGCCATACTCGCTTCACGCCTACCACATGTACTTCATGATACATAATTCTTTCTTCATGATCGGGACATCATATAAACTCGTGTGCAGAACCTAGAGTTTACATTCTTGTCGGCTTGCCACGCCGTGGGGGATAAGTCGAGTGCTGACGAGGCAATTCAACTCCTTTTGAACAGCAGATCGTATGCGTTCATATAGATGTCTCGCAGCTAAGGTTGTGTGTCCCATGCCCATGTATGAAGTCCTTGTGTTGTATGGCATAGCGGAGACGTCAAAATTTAAAAACACAAATGAACTGTTTTCATGCCACGTCTGCGTCCATACATGCATGGTGTTCTGAAACATAAGGCGCCTGTAGTACTTTGAAACTCATCGACGAAACGCTTCCGTTTAATTTATAAAACCTGGCAGCGACTAGTCATGCTAATCAAGATTAAGAGCCGGCGATGATCATACATAAATATCAACGTCCCATGAACTGATTCATGCCTTCCCTCGATATCTCTTCCTATTGCCACCATCCGCGCCCTCAGATTTGTTCAGCCTATCGAGCAAGGACGATGTTCTTGGTGTGAGATCTCTCGACTCCTCGCCCCGCTCGGCATGTGCTGCAGCGCCCTTAATACTATAACCGCTCATAGGATGCTTGTCCGGCTCGGACGAATCATCCACGCGTTTTCTTCCTGCTCCTCCACGTTTTCGCAAGGCCTTCTCCGCATCGCCTGGAATAGGCATCATCATACGGCTCAGTAACGAAGGCGTCAGTTGTCGTTCCTCAGTCAATTCCGTCTTTACTCGTTTGATCTGCGGTACTGTTTCTCCAGAGCTCAAGGATCGTTTGGGTAATGTAACAGAGCCAGAGTCGCGAGTGTGTGATGCTGGTCGAGAGTTCGATGCTGCGCCACTCGTGCTTGTATGCGAAAGTCTTGACATATCTGGTCTTTTCAATAGCGGACGTCCAACTTGAGGTCGAGCCGGGAGGTGAGCAGGGCGCTCATAAAAACCCTCCCCGTCCACAGATGTACTCGAACTTGCTTGCGACATTGAAGTTTCGGTTAGTGACTGCTCAAACACAGAAAGAAACAATGGGCGTCAACGGAGAAAGCGGAAAGCGGCCCACTGCGAACCCTGATGAGTACTCGAATTTCATCGCTGTTGTTTCCTGGCCCCAATTGTTGCGCTTGCGCTTGAAATTTGCTTATGGATGTAGCCAAATTAAACGGAACAACCCAGTCTTCACGTTCTTTTCGCTGGAAACGCGTTATTTTGCAAAACCACGTGAAAAACCCGACTTACATGTTTGCAAGCTAGAAGGAGGTGGCTCAATGTGTCCCACATAGTTGAAGATTCGAGTTTTGTGTCGTAGAGAGCCTAAGTCAACCATTCAGTGGATTGACCTTAGAAATGCGCGGACGACCTGCCTCCAACAAATTTGGCGCTCCATCAACAACCTGTCGCCGAAGGAATGAAAACTGTTCATGACTGCAGATTTGAGGGCGAAGGTGACTTTCTTCTTCGCATGCTTCAAGTGCCTCTACCACTCGGCCCGCAAGAACAAGTTGCTCCTCGGGAGAAAACCTTTGCAAGACAGGTTTCCCCATCAGATACGTACAATAAAATCGTAACAACACAACAGGAGAAGCAACTCGTTTTTGAATGGCGACGAAGTGCGCCAAAGATATGTAGAAATCAATGGTCTTGATGGATCCCAAGTCGTTCGATTTCACGTTCAAAGAAGACCTTGCCTTGTCGATAAGCACGTGAAGAAGGTCCATTCCGCGCGAAGAGCCCGGTCCATAACAAGGCATCATCAGAAGCAAGTCCTTTATGATCACTTCAACGTCGCGTGTTTCCAGCCTTCTGATGGCCTATTGACGAGTCAGCCTTGCAAAACGGTGGAAAGGTGTACCAAATTACCGTCAGAAGTTGGGACACCAATACGTTTTCTGTATCGGTACCTGGCGTTTTGGTGTATTTCCGAATGATAGCTTCAGCTGCATCAACTTTCAAAAAGGCTATCACGAGCGAGCGTAAACGATCACGAATTTGCTGCTCCTCTTCGTCTATTGTGTATTCAGGAGGAATTATTTGATCACACAAGACTCCTAGGGTGACGCCGGGATCCATGTCGAGATGGTCGCAAAGGGCTGCTTTTACAACGACAACCTCTTCTGGTTCGTCTACGGGAAATGATCAGAAAGACTTGAAACAGTGAGACACATATATGCTCATCATCATCGTTGTAATTTGCGCGTTATATGTTTCAAAGTCACCTTACTTACCGCTTTGAAGAAGTTGCACAAGCACATCCGAATTTCGTTTAACCCACTTGTGTTGAACAAATGAAACGCTTGAGATTGCTCGATATCCTTCAATGCGGACCTGCGGTCGGGGTGTCATGAAAGGAGCACACCAAAATAAAGACGTCGCACCCGTGAATCTTGATCCTCGCAAAGATCGTAAACTACATTGATGGCGTCTTCCTCTAGGTCGGGGAAATCATTGAAAAAGTATCTTATGTGATTTGCTGCATAGCACTTGAGCTGAGAATTTGAGGAATGTGCAATTTCAATGAGTTTCGTGAGCGCGTCACGCCGCTGGTAAATTTACGATGTAAGTTCATTCGAGACACTGAATGGTTAAAATCTTACCAGTTCACTTCCTCCGTCTTGCTCTTTCTCGGCATTCTCGACCAGTTGACGTATTTCCGATTCCTGGTCATCCATTTGCTCTTGCATGTGAGCGGGAAGGGTATAACCCGCGGACTAACAACGATGGATGCGGTTATGATGGCGCTCCAAACGTGGAAAGATGTTCCCATCAGTCAATAGACATTTTGAACGTGACTTATGCATGTCAAGCACGAGTCTAGGACATATGGACGCACCTTGTCCTGCACCCTTTCTTCCTAACCTATAACGACCCAACATGAGCGTGCGTACTAACGACCAGATTCTTCACGATAGAGTTAATCTACCTCGCCTGGTCAAAAGGCTTGAGAAATCCGTGTCCGAGGATGATTGGTCCGATAGTTCGCAGCGAGACACCTGGATCAAAGCCCAAGGCACTCTCCAGGTTCGTTCGGCATTGCTTGTGGTACATATAAGACTACTAGAAGCTCACATTTTATTAGCGAATCAGACACGCCCGCTTGCTTCTAAAGAACGTCGAGGTTGATGACCATGGCACTTCACCGTACGTGGAATTACTACAGCACACCGTCCGTTTAAGCTCACATTTGATATGCTTCTGTAGAGCCTCAGAACATCGTTATCAGCGCTTGCGTGCAACCCTCGATCAAGTTGAAGCGTTTGTAACAGAGGTCGAGCAGGTATGCACTCCTCACCGTGATACATGTCGGACACCCTTTTCTCGGCTCATTTGGCAAATTAGAAAGCAGCTCCTCCACTTAAGAGACCAGCACCAATCCTGCCATCAATACGTGCCCCTGTGACAAAGGCAGCTGACCTCGAGACCTCACCTGTAGAAGCGACGCTCATCCCGACAGAAGATACAACTCAAAGTGTGCCTAGTGCGGACGACCTCATACCGTCTTCGCAGACAGAGTTTTTACCCTTAGAGCCTCTTGTACCAACTCTTCCTGCAGCATCTTCCGTCACTTCCAACGTCACTGCTACACCTACCATCCTCCAAAACTCTCGCGCACTACAGGAAGAGCTCTCAGAGCAACTCGCACTAATGGCAAGGCAGCTTCGGCGCAATGCCACCCACTTTTCTGAGTCGCTAGTCAAAGACAAGAGCGTTGTCGAAACAATGCAGGAGAAGCTCGAGGGGAACTTTGACTTCATGAAGAAGGAACGGATACGGTTAAGGGACTTCAGGGGAAAGAGTGGAAGTACAACATGCTTGGTGATCACGAGTATACTTGTCGTGCTGGTCGCGTTCATGCTCATGGTTTTCGTCATTCGAGTAACATGACCAATTCTTACAGGTCATGTCTTTCTTACTTCACCCATCATAGTTGTCACATGTATAATCATTAGTCGGTTGTTCTAACTAAGTTTCAAACAGTCCAAGCCGTCGTCATATTGATATGTCCAACAAAATCTAAGACCTACTAATAGTACTAAATGCAGTAATCATAACAAGAACAAGGCGTAACAAAACGTAACATTAAATCAGCATGTCCCGACACTTAGTCAAGTCCTAGAAGTGTCCCAGTATGAATGTAAGTGTCCTAAATGATGTATATACTCTACATTTAATGTGAAAGAATGTCATCAATGCATTGGTTCAAGAAGTCTTTGCGATACGTCAAGTCTGCACGAGGGAAGCGAGCCGCCATAGCCTCACGAGCTGTCCTGAAGTGAAGTTAGTATCAGGCTGTAGTCAAGTATTGGAAGACAACGAACTTCTTTGTCACAGCCATCAAGTCTTGTGTGCTTAAAAAGTTCCTAAGCGCGTTGTACAACTCGTCATCCGAGGGGTTGGGATTCATGTTAGGACCGGTAAACACAGTTGTAGCCATAGATAACGTAGACGTCCTCATTCCTCCGCTTAAAGGCTGAGGAGGAACACCCAGGCTCTGGGCGGGGGACATGGAGCGGTTATTGAAGACTCCAGATGTCATTCGCGAATCAGGCGGTGCCATGCCATACACGCTCCCATGTGGGCCCGAATTGGTCGGAGTAAACATGTTGATCCTTTCTTGCGAGGGTCCTCTCCAGTTGGCCATCTGAGGTGTTGGGCGGTTGGCGTCAGATACGGCACGAGAGCTCGGACGTGAAGGCCCTTGTAGGTTGTGATGTGAAGAGTTGCTATGTATCATGTTTGTGTCGCGGTAGTAGTCATGGTCTCCTGATTCAGAGCGACCATACTCGTAGACAGACGGGCGTTGGGAGCCTGACGGAAGACGCGGCTGAGGGGCGGAGAGATACGCGGAGCCTGCTTTGTTGAAATCAGGAGGCAAGTCATACGACTGCCTGGATTGGCTGTCACCCCACGTTTCAGCTTCATAGTCTATACAGATATTAGCGGGTAGCAGGAGTAAGAATACATATTGAACGTACCACTAAACTTCTTGTATGGAATCATAGACTCATTGAACTTCATGTCGTCGTTATCAGCAATGACCTTCTTGCTTCCGCCATCATCAAGCACGACACGAGTGTTACCCCAACCGAACTCATCCATCCGCCAGAATGAATATATGGGCAGGAAGAAACTGTAAACTGGGTATCTGTAATGACAAAAAATGAGATATGAATCTGATGCGGAACAGCTTAACTCACGAAATGATATAGACCACCATCCATCCAACAAGCATGAACTCTCTTCTGATAATGAAGATAAGAGCCTGGGAAACGACATTGTAAATTACTTCTCTTAATTGAACGACACACTCACCTGAAGACCATACACCGCTGCTAACATGATTATGGAAATCAAAGGGAACGGAGATTGTCCAGTAGCGACCTCGACAATCAGCCAAGCCAACTAAACACAACATTAGCTGGAATTCGGTAATAGAGAAGAGGTCGTAGCTCACGTAAACGACAGTGGAAGGTAATATCTAATGAAAAACATCAGAAGTCGTACGTCGACGCTTTGAAAGGATCTCACCAAAGTACCGATCAGATCGAGATAGACGAAGAACCTCATCGAGAAACAACACATTCCGCAGAGATCAGGAAGAATAGCAAGCTCGCACAAGTTGTGAACGGTCGAATTGATCCAACGTCGGCGTTGTGAAAACAGTACCCTCCAAGATACTGGTGCCATGGTACGCGCAATTGCATCCGGAGTGAACTTGGTCTTGAAGGTGGGGAAATGTTTCATTAACAGCGTCGTCAGAAATCGATCTTCGCCGAGGGAGAACAGGTTCTTCTTGTGCAGGGTGTCCACGTTATCATCTGCATATTCATCAATCACACGGTTGGAGATGATGAGCGGTCGGCCTTTATCGTTAGTGCGGACGCGGTAGAGGGTAAAACATCCAGGGAGACATGAGACTGAGCCGAAAAGACTCTCGAAAGCTTTGGACAAGTTGTGCGAGATGTAGTACTCGTATACCTATGGGTACATTAACTTGAATACACAAAACGCATAAATGTAAACCACTTGCCTGGATCATGGTCCACCAGGATCCCTCCTCATTCTGCAGTCTTGTTTCACCACATATGCCGATTATGTTGGAATCTGATATCGAGGCTGCCACAAGACGGTTAAGAGATTTTGGAGTCACAGACTGCGAAAAGATGTCAGAGCTTTGCGGGATAGCGAGCAGCATAGCGTACCGTGTCTGCGTCCACAGTGAAAATGTACTCGTAGAATGCAGGATCAATCCCAATAACATTCCGCATCTGATGATAGATATCGAGCTCTAGCGGGGACATGGGTGCGTTGAAGTGCACCCTGTTCAAGTACTGCATCAACAAGATTTGACTGTCACGCTTGCCACGGTTGCCGGGTTTCGAACGTTCACTTGGCTTCCCGACCTTCACAACGACTACATACCTGAACAAAAATGTCAGCAATGACTTCATAGTTACGGAGTGAATGACGTACGGAACAACATGGCCTTCATATTCGTACAATCCAGAGTATACCTTGCCATAGTTGAGCTTCTGCGAGCCCTCTCCGATTGATCTATACATCAGGGGCTCAGGATCCTTCGCTGGGTCAACGCCAAGGATATCGAGTACGATGGCAGGCGTTGGCCGTTCATTACCGCTCCCGATAATGTTCCCATCACAAATGACAAAAATCAGCTTCCTCTTGTCGTCGTAGTCCAAATTGGCAAGTGAGTCAATCGTGCGGCGAAGGGAATCCTCTCCTTCCGTGTAACAAGGGACCTGGCATAGCACAAACTTGTCCAGTAATTCGGGGAAGCGCTTGGTACTGAGCTGGAGTGCAGCAAGGACTGTATGGGGTGAATACAAGCAAAGCTTCAGGTAGGAAAGACGTACATTTCAACGCCATCGAGGCCATGAGGACACTGGAGAACACAAGCAAAAGGTAGTTCTGCACTTGGCATCTAGGAGTGTACCGGAAGTCTGTCTCTCCATAGTAGAAGGCATTAGAAAGACAGTCCATATTCGCTGTACTGTTTTCAGTACCCATGGCAGCCAAGACTTGATTCAAAGCAGTAGTGATGTCCTGCCCGGCTTGTTGCTCAAAGACAGCAACGAGGGTCGGTTCAAGGAAGCTGTACTTGGCGACATTCTGGTTGACCGTGTTCATGGTGTAGACATAGTCCGTCAAATCATAGATGCTATTCTCATAAATCGCCCAAGTTCTGCGGAGAAAATGAGTGAGGTCACTGAAGTAGATTGAGTACGACTCACCGTGAATTCGTGGAGTCAGATGCATTAGCCTGAGAAGAGATATCGCTTGGTTCCCAAACCAACGGACCAAGATAATACTGGTCGATCTTTGGTTTGAAGGTCGCAGTGTACCAGTCCTGGTTGTCGAGAGCTGTGGGAGTCGTTGGAGCATTGGCTCCAGAGGAATGCATAGCTGTCGGGAACAAGACTTGATCGTTGAGCGAAGGAGTGATTTTCATTGTCGGGTCGCTGACAAGACCCGCACATGCCACATTTAAAGGAGGGGGGAAGTAGGAGGTCATGTCGGTACCAGCGAGCCCCTGCAGGGTGTTCTCACTATTACTTGGCTCTCCCACAATGTCACTGTGGTCACCGAGAACGAAATTGGAGACGTCGTAGACCCTGCCTTGAATGGAGACGTAGTAATTATTGTCAGCTGTATATTGAGCCACTTCATCTGTCGTCCACGCGTCCTTGAAGTTCGGGCAGAGAATGACACCGAAGGCAATGATGTAAAATAGGATAAGGCCATTTCCGAGAAGGATGAGGATGCAGATGGCCAGTTTCTCTCGCCATGCAAGGCGGACGTCGGGGCGCTTCATACGGCCTAACCACGACAACAGGAAATCGGGAATAAACCAGGTGAAGAAGTAGACAATATAAAGCCAGTAACGTCGGGTGCGAGTAGTTGGCAGATGTTCCTCCGACATTTCAGGAGCATTGTCCGCGGCTAGCAAGGCAGCATTGGGCATAAGGTGAGGTGCCGCGTCAAAGTTTTCGGGCTTCGCATCCCACATCGTGGAACTGGACTCCTCGCGGTAACTAGGAGCAGCAACATGAGACGGTGCGTAACCATCGAATGCAGGCGTTTTCGGCTCTTGGAATGGTGTGGCATGCGGTTCATCAAAGTATGTCGATTGCTGCTCATCACCAGGGTAGTCTGTGGCATCATCGAGAATGGGGCTCTCGTCCTCTTGTGAATCCTCACGAGCAAGCTTCTTCTGCTCTTTTTCCTCAGAACGTACAACATCTTCTACCATCTTCCATGCCGAGTACGATAGCCAGATCTTCTGGTTCCCCATCGCAAAATCTATGCCCTCTCTCCAGCCATTAGATTGGGCGCACTGACGAATGCGCTCAGCATCTGATCCGCGCATAGAAGGACGATATCTGTCACAAAACTCTGCCTGATCAAAGTCTGCAACAAACTCAACCTGCTTTCTTGACACAATAGCCGGGAGTAACAGAGCCCTGATTTGACTTTTGACACGACGCCGGTCAAGGGAGTTAGATAACCCATTATCATTGGGGCGAATGCACGTGATAGTCCACATCGGCACATTCTCGATGTTGGACAAGACATTCCAAAGCGTTTGATTGAGCTGCGTAGTGACGGGATAAATTTTGGACGGGTTTAGGCGAGGGTTCTCATCTGCACTGTTTCCTAGGGGAGTGAGCGTACGAAGAGGGCGGGAAAAGATTTGAGCTTGGACGATAGTTTCTTCATCGCTCTGGTGCTTTTCCGTAGACAAGCTGGGACCCGACATGAGTTTCGCGACAAATACATCAGTTGAGCTGCGAAGAAGAGTGACGAAAGCAGGGTCAAGTAGGTCTGCGTCCTTCTCTACGAAGTTGGTGATGTCGTATGAACAGGGACCAGCATAGTGGTTGATCCCGAAAGTTCTCCTCTCGTCTGTGGTTGGCGTTGCAATGAAAGACGCGTGCACACCAAACTTGGCACCCAAATCCCGCAGTAGCTCATCATTCCGATGATTCTCATCCGCACGCCGCGACTTGAAGGACATTGCGGCCTTGTCGACGACACCCAGGAGACCACCAGGTTTTCGTGACGTTGCCTGAGTGGTGTATGGGCCCCGAAGAAGCTCGGCACAGGCTGAGTTGTCCATAGCAATGACGGCCGGTAGTGAGTTCCCATCAGCAATTATACGATTATTAAAATCGGTGTTATCGTCGAGAATGTTCCGAAGGATATGGAATTGCACGAGTTCGTCGGTGAAATTGATGCAGAATTCATCAAAGCCATTCTGATGAGCGGAGATAAGGGGGGTTGAGGAACTTGGCCCTGAAGGTGCCCGCGTCTGATAACCTGCTTGGTCGAGCAGTACAATACGAGTGGCGGAACATGTAGGGTTTAGAGAGGCAGGGGCTAGCTTGAAATTGGCAGTTTCTACCACGAATGCAAACATGATTGCATAGAGATCGCGAACTAGCTGGTCTCGCTGTGCCGCACTTTGCTCCGCATTGAGTAGCACAGTATACAACTCCTTGCGTACATAGCTCGTCTTGTACGTCAACGTGTCGCTGAGTTCTTCAGGAGAAACGCCCAAAAGCTTTGCCGCCTGTTGGAGAACTGGCACGTTAAGAACATATGCAGAGACGTCCTGAGCATCAGCCTCCCCGAATTGGAGGTTGCCGAGCAGCAGGATGGCAGCGAGCACGCTAAATATTGACGAAACGTGTTTGGACTTGAAGCCCAACGTTTTGAGGGCGTCTCGCAATCCATCCATTGCGATACCATCATCACTGAACGGGCCAGCAGGCAAGAGGTAACAACCGGATGATGCCAACAAGGCATAGTCCGAAGGACCTTCCAAGCCCATGTAGTCACGCTCCGCTGGTGTAGCTCCAGCAAGAAGTTGGTAGAATACATGGTAAGATCTTTCTTCATGCGACAAGCGAGTCAGGCGTGACTTGTCCAGCCCAAAGGCGATGACCTTCGCAGCGCTGATACGCCCGCGTTCATTGAAATGGAGCTCTGTGTAGCGTGTGTGTCGTGAGGCATTTGGGTTCACAAACGTTTTTGCATTTCCGAAAGACTCAAGGAGCAATGTGAAAGATTTGATTTGCTCGACGATTTTGACCTCTCGTTTGGAATGAGCTGAAAGGCGCAAAATCTGTTCCACGAGCAGGCGACTGCTTGCGGTTTTCCCTGATCCTGAGATTCCCCTAACAGAATTATGCTATAAGCTCCAGTTTCGTTCGTTCGATGCGGGAGTAACTCACCGAGTGACAACTGCTTGAGACTCGTTCCTCCTTCTCATAAGGAGATAAATTTTGGCCGCTTGCTCATATAAGTGAGGCTCAGGGGGTCTCTGAGAATCTGCTAAGCCCAGCTTGGTATCCTTGTAACATCTCTCTTCGTACTCCTTCGCGCTAGCGTCGTTAACGTTGGTGAGTGTTTTGTTGGGATTGACTACCACAAGGTTTGTGGATCCGAGTCTAGTGTATGGTAAATCAGCGCGAAATCGAGCTGTGAGAACAGCAAGGATGGAATCATCTGTAGGATGAACGGTGGCAGGTGTAGAAGACGAAACTAGGTCTGTGAGCTCGCCAGAGCTGACAGCTTGTCGCACGAGATTGGCCGAAGCAGAGGCCATCGTGCTGGGAGGTGAACAAGCAAGGAGTCGTGGGGCGGAAAGAAATGACAACTAAACATTCCAGTCGAGCCGTCGGCATGTGGACTGACTGCGCCTCCTTCGATGTGAAGACAACGTTATTCTTGGACATCTCCGTCCTGGGCGTAGCCTAGTAAGCGCATATGTTTCAACCTGTGGGGAACTTCGCTAATTAGGGTTTCCGAGTCGTGTATCACAAGTTCACATATGTTGACACCGGCTTTCAGGAGGACACGCTAAGAAAAGCGTGAGACCATGATCTGGTCTAGGGTGTTGGGCACAGCTTAATTGCCAGGGAACCGGGGACAACAGTGCAAGTGAGCGGCCTGTCCTGGCCGACAACCTTGAAGTTTGTCAGTCAGCTTGACGTTAAACAGTTTCAAGACTACATCCGATGTTATAATTGCTACTAGAAGACGAATGTCAGTACCCTGATTTGTAGTCCTGCGGCAGGGGGGCCACAGGTAAAAAGACCCACCAAAATGTAAACTAGAATGCAAAGCAGTTGCCCTAGTTCCTGCAAGATGATCGCGTTCACAAAGAACATGCATGCACTCTGCACACCGCACGATGTACAGCGCAGACTGTCTAAAACAAAAGTTTTGATCAATCATGATGATACGGTTGGGAAATCTCGTGGGAAACATGACCAACCGTGCTACTAGACTAGAATATACTATCCCTTACGCTCTATTCGTGACGGTCCACAATTTCGTGATTTTTGTCTGCAGCACTCAACTTCAATGTAATTACTTAGCTACTTCACTCAGTATATTCTATATACTATATACTAGCATATTCCAAGTGGAACGAAACAAATCTGTTGAGAAATGGTGGAGATCGTGTTTTCAGCGTGACAGCAGCCAAAATCACGATTTCAGTGTCACCTGCCGAGGCTGCCGACGTCGGACATTGAATTTAACAGCGTGTTTCATTGCAGCTGCAATCCGTGAGCGCGTGAGCAAGTAGCGAGCGCTGAGCTGGGCTACCACATCCACCATATTTTTTTGCTCAACCCGCGCATCCGAGTCCGAGTCACGGACTTCATAATCCATCTACTAGTATGCATCAATACCCACATCCACATACATTCCCTCAGCAATATTTTACACATCATTAATGATTGCATTTAGTTCTATATAATTTTTCGGTACATACTGTAGCTCACAGACTTATAAGTAGCGTCCTAATCAATCACTGTTGAAGTTCACGAATCCCGAATCACGAATCACGAAGATTCTAACGTCTGCCGAGCGGACTGTAGATTCGGCCAGTGTGACTGTCCGTTACTATTCGTGACCTGAGTGTGACTCACGAAATTGTGGACCGTCACGAATAGAGCGTAAGGGATAGTACGACTCGGGCGCCGGGTCCCTCAGATCCGAACAAGCAGTAAAGCACCCCTCCAATACGAGCTCATAAGGAACACGGTCCCAAGTATCAGTTTAGGATCAGTATCAGCGTGCTTCGGCTCGTACTTTTCACCATGATGGATGGTGTGCGGCCGTGTGCCTGGCACGAGGCCTCGACGCACTCAGATCATCCAGCCCATATCTCATGGATGCACCCCTAGACCTTGCTGTCGCGCGTTTTCTTCAAGATAATCAGCATGGAGCCTTCGCGCCAGCCGGATGGACCTTCACGTGTGGTGACTATGCACCTCTGGAGACGCTGACTGGCAACTTCAAACTTGAATGGCTGGTGGACTCGCGTGGGGCTATAGATTGGGCGACCGTGGAACTTTCCAAGCTCTCTACAGAACAATATAAGCTGGTGCAAGTTATGAATGTGCATTCAAACATGGTTTCGAGAAGCCTTGTGGAGCACAAGCCTGTGTGCGCAGTAACTTGCAGTACACGAAGACGCGGCTTACTCATGCCAAGTCCAGCTTTGCTGTGAGTCACGATTGCATATCTGAGAAGCTTCTGAGGTAAGGGCATCCTTTCTGAACCGAACCCTAAACCATCCCACATTTGTGTCTTAGGTTTTGATATTTCAGTTATCCCCTTGCAATAGAAAGCACTACTCCACTTTCACATTATCATCTTGTCCACCTTAGTACCGGCTGTACATGGCATTTCTCATCTCACAATCATAATTCACAGGTTGGCAACTTCGCTGCGCCCAGATGTCTCCTCCGAGACCTAGAAACGATTCGTGAGCGATTGATTCTCGCTTGTGAATATATCCTCTTGGCGAGTCAGAATCAAATGTTCTCTTGCTGTATAGTGCGAAAAACACTGTCGGAAATGTCGCAGCACTGATACTGAACTCGCAGTGTTGATAGACTTGTTGGACAAGCGACAATTCCACCATGCACGTCTTGTCACACTCTTCCCAGCATCAGTCTACCCGCGAGGAAGGCGAACACCCGATGGATAAGGAGCCTCGCCCTTTAAAATAGACCAGTGAAGTCACACAGACAAGTACCTCATAGACTCCACTGGACATTCGACAACCTCTGTCGTACGCCACTACTATCTTGGCCTGATAATGTGGAGGACATATGGATTTCAACATGGCTAGACGGAAACTTGTGAATGGACGATATCGTTAGGTGGCACGAATTTAAAGTTCAGCTACCAGATAATTTTGGAATGCCGGTGGGTATCTGACTGAGAATTACTTGGTAGGATGTTACACGAGCCCTGCAGTTTTCCCTGGATGACATCCTTTTGTATCTTCCGCTCGGTGTTCCGCAGTATCAACTGCTCTTAGAGTGACGCGACCAAGGTCGACCTTCATCCCCGGGTAAGTTAGGTCCCGTCTAAAGTCTGACTCGCTCTTACCAATCAGAGACTGATCAGTGCCAAGGAACCTTACAGTGCAATTATAGAAATTTGTCCGTTATATCGACACGGTCTAGACTTTTAATGCACGGCCGGGTCATTGTACCTTCTCATTGATGACTAGTGCGTACGATCGGCCTAGTTTCCAAAGGAAACGCTTCGATTGACCTTGATCCCGCCAACGTGATTTATGGTTTAAATCCCCGAGAAGAGATCCAGTATCATTGTGAAGGACATTTGAAACTCGACAGTGCGCGGACAAGTCTATCTTGAGTCTAACACCTTCAATCCAAACTGACCCCGATTTTCGATCATAATCCATTCCGAGATGAGTAAGAAAAATATCGCCATCATGGAGTCTAGGCTTACAAGTATGAGAGTTAGGTTTGCATAGAGTACGCCCGCTGTTTCCAAAACGATTTGAATGGGCCTTGATTATGCAATACGGCGTACCAAGGGTGCTCCAAGCAGGTGGATTCGGGATACGGCTCCTGACATCTAGCACATCCAAGCTCCCCTTTCCCTCCGAAATTCCATAACATATACTTGCCTCCAATCGGATGCGGCCATGAGGGCTTTCGTGAAACATGGACACGGCAGGCAGGATCGATGGTGCCAGAACCCCGGAGACGACCGAAAGATCATTGTATGACTTCGCGATGTTTACCCACGTCAGGCAAGTGCTATTGAAGAGGTCCATAAGCAGGGTGCCTTGAGAAATCTTATCGGACCCTGCGGTAGAAAAGGGGACCAACGTGAGTATCTAATCTATGTTAGCATATCAGTAGACTGACGTGAAACACTCGAATATGCTTCTGTCCAATAACCCACTTATCAAGGACGTTTTAGCTTGCTGAAGGCCAAATAATGCATATATTCCCACTGATTCGCTGGTTTCCGTGCGACGTTATGATCATGACGCCTTCGTATCACGTGAATGTGGAAACGAGTAGCAGAGAAGATCCCATGTTCAGTAGACGGGCGGTTGTTTCGTGGGGTAGGTTCAAGTATACGACAAACTTGAACATAATCGGGATACTCTTTCCTACAGAGAAATTAAATCAAGGGTACTGACGTTCTCCGACATTACAGTGATCCATTGACTTCATAAAGCATCGTTCGAACTTCGTCGGCATGGCTCAACTTGGACGCAGCCAATAGCCAATATGGCGCCTCCAAAACTTGGAATTAGATCGAGGGCGCTGATGACGATAAACACTGACAGTTGTCTAAACATTATTTGCCCGAATCGCCATGGCTCAATGCAACCAATGGCCAATATACCGCCTCTAGCATGGGATCCACCATCTCTCGAAGTGCTCTTACTCACACGAGTCGGGACTCCACACAAGCGACTTCCTGGTAAACGTCTGATCTACATCCACATGGACACATCTCGAGAGTTAACGTCATTTCGAGCAACTTTGTTGCATTATTATCAAACGTTCAAATGTGCTACCCAATGGCCTTTTGGTCGCCGTCAATCACGTGGTCACCGGCTCCGCGGTCAACCCGTCCATACCATTCTATTCACGTTTCAAATAATATCGGAGGTAGGTACGAGCATAACTGAATTGTTTTGTTTTGAAATGCGAGTGAGACAGATAGCGGGTCATCAACATCAAATGCAGTGGAAACAGATATTGTGCTCCACTGGCAATGATTTGGCCATTTCGACAATGAGTGTGCTTCTGACCGGCAATCACAATCATGCGATAATCAGCAGCATCTCACTGATTAGTACACGATCGAATTGCACGAAGCCGAACTGATGTGTATGAATAACGAAAGGCCACGGACAAGAACGGCTATCGCGAAGATGTCAATAGTCGGAGGTGATGCGCTCGTTTGAATCGATTAAATCTTTATGGCGATTATCCGGATCCTGGATATCGATGGCGAGCCTACAGTGCCAGTGACATTGTAAGTCGAGAAGACCTGAATTTTGGCCAACTTCTTGGGTTCTTGTCAAATGTTGGAGCTGTCTTGATCTGGCTGCATTCTCAATGCATCTACCCCTGTTGCGATAGTATCGAATGGAATCCGACTCGGAATCTCGAAATCGAGAGTTACTGATGGGCCTTTGATAATTTCGAGAACCACCAAGGCGGTGTGGAAGCTGTAGGACCTGGAACAATACATCAGATATGGAGGCCTGAGCGAACACAATTGTTCATTGTACGACATTGAATGGATAGATGCCACGCAATGAATGTTCTTCCTAAAGCAAAAGCTCCACCGTCGACCGATGATCGGTCGGATCCAGACAACGAAAACAAATATAATCGACGGAGCGTAACCTGACGTTCCTTTAGAAGAAAGCTAAATGTTCTCGACAAACTCTAACGTATGAACTTCCAAGAAGCACCTTAATCTTGGTGAATGCGGGGTAATGTACAAGGGTGATGATGTTTACGATCACATTGTTGACAGCCCATGATTATCGATCATGGATCAACATGCACCAGGCACGCCGACTCTCACCGGGATTGATGCAAGTATGCCGCCCGGTAAAGTGCACGGGTCGGATGAGTGAAAATTCGGAAGTACGGCGGCCATGTAACAACGATGTAGTAAAACGTTGCCTCATTGACCGGAGGTTGCGGATCGAATGATGAAACATGCAAAGGGAAGCCGAAACTAGTACTAAATCAGCGTAGGAGGAGAGAGAGAGTTGGAGAATCCGACGACGGTAGTACTACTTAACAGGTCTCCGTAGGGTCGCAATATTCGCCGAACGGAGATAATAGATCTAGAACTGCCCGTGGTCAGCTGTGTGGCGCTCCAGTGGTGGTCGTGATGCGGTGAGTACGCAATTACATCCGGATTCAATCCCGAGTGGTTTATGGGTTGAACTGAAGGTTGAAACGCATGTTGAGTACTAGAACAATGTGAAACAGTTATCGACATGACCGGCTTAGTAATATAAACCTCGGGAATTAGCGGTTAAAAATAATTTTAAAAATGAAATATTAGATAAATTAGGCAGTTCACCATCTATGACATCGGATCTCAACACCGTCGAATTCTGGGGTTGCAGGGATATTGCCGTGAATCGTGTGGATAGACATGCCAGGCAATCTCCTACAAGGAATCTTCTGCTTGCTTCCCCTTTATTTCCTGCATTGACCTGTGGACTCTTTTACTTCGTGTTATCCTCGTGTTTTCAGCGAGGCGGTCTATGTGAATCACAAGACCCACAAGTCTTAAGCGTAGCCAAAGCGTTTTTCAAACACACACACATACTTAATATCTCCCTCTCTCATGACCATCCGCTTGTTGGAACCATCATCTCCTTCTCAATCTCTCTCGACGATCTCAAGAAAGCCTAGCTCGCTTGCAACGACTTCTTCGAGAACTTGTGACTCTGCTACACCTACGAAACGTCTCCCATCGTCTCGAACACATTCGCCACGAGGTCGCGTCTGCACACCGAATAAACTGACTCCCTCTTCCAATTCTCAACCTACTCTCGCAATGACTATAATTGCTCCTAGTGCTCGCACCCCTCAGCAGCAGGGCAGTTCCTCACACATTCAAAGACCTCACTCGCCTCCTCCCCGACCATCATCACGGTCAGAGCGTCTGCTGCGAGACACCCTCAGGAAAGACAATACACTTCGTACAACTGCCACATCCCGTGCACGTTCCCGCTCGCGGTCATCGTGCAGTGACTGTGATGATGATAACTTATTCCAACCCGTCCTGATCTTTCAACCGTCCGAGTCACGCAGGAATAGTGCTGCTTCCACCCGGAATTTCAGGTCGAAAAGTTTTTACGTTCCGAACGAGAACGAAGACTCCTCATATGCTCAGCTACTCAGGTCGAGCTCAGACTTGGATGCCAAGGGCTACCCTATTGCTCCTATCCAACAAGAGAAACTGGATGAATGTCTTTCCACATCATTACCGCGCTCCTATGTCATCGGAAATGATGCAGCGCCGCATGAGGCTGTCCTGAGATCACGCCTAGAACGCGTGCTTCATAATGGAATGCGTGAAGAGGAAAGGCGAATAAAAAGGTTGCCGGATGAGGAGGTAAGCGCTCATCATGTACGATACACGCACCCCTGATTTAAATGCTGATATGTAATACCCTGTGTAGTCTTCATCAGCATCTCCACCTTCATCAGCACGCTCGCTTTCTAATTCATTTACGCAATCTCAATCATCTGAGAAACCTCGTGTGACTGCACATGCTGTGGAGCCCTTGATACTGCCATCCATATCATCAAAACACAGCCGGAAGAATAGGTATTCGCAGTCGACTTCTGTAGCTTACTCGCAAAAATCACCACGATCGCAATCGCAAGGAGAGACATCACCTTGGATGACGACACCCCTCCCACCTTCACCATTCTCGACTCCAACAAAGAAGTCGCCTTCTTCACCATATGCCACGCCCTCACCGCACTCACCGAACCCGGCGATTTTCTCGAGCTTTTCTCGAGCTGATCCCCATATACCAGTGACTCCACCGCAGTTTGACCTGCGCGCGGCATCACAAGCTTGTAAGCAGGTATCGGGATACGTGAGTTTTGCAAGTGTGGCTGGCCTTGGTGCACCGCCTGGTGTAGGCGATGACGAGGCGAGCATAAAGGAACCGCAACGTGGCCGTAGACGCGGGCGGTGGTGGGTTTTCTAGATTGCATGTATTTGGGATGGATTTTTTGGTTTCCAGAAAGAGGACGGTCGCGATCATATTGGACGACATCCTGAATGCGAGGAACGAGACTATGTTATGCTAAATTAATCTTTTCCCGACGGTTTCTGGAGGCTTATGCCTAGTATGCCCGCGTATTCATGGACGGGTGTGTGCTACGTTTATGATGTGGCGTTCTTTGTACACTGTGTATGATGCTATAATTCACTTCAGATATATAAAAAAGCGTCGATTGCGCGCTGCGTAGTTGACAAATAGCTAGGATACCCAGATTTATAATGCAATAACTGAAATCAAGCGACATTTGCAGTGAAGACTTGGCAGTCGTCGAAACACTGGCTACTTATATATACGAATCTACTGCGGAAATCCGAGGCGAAGTACGGCTATCGTTGGGTGAAACGTATCATTTGTAGTTGTCCAACAATCAGTTAACGATTCAATCACTGCCACGTCGCTTCCGCATGAGGAACCAGCTCATCGCTATCATAAAGACGATGTGAAGAAACACATCGTACTACAGTTATGTGTCAAGTTAGATTATGTCTGTGTACGGCAGACTCTCTGCAAACAACCGACATATATCATCATCCGCTAGCAAGTTCGAGTGTAGCTCTCTGAGTAGTAGAAAATAGAACGATGTTATTATTAAGTTTTGGCTGTCCTACACAGCCTTGGGTACGAGTCGCCAACCAATGATATGCACATATATAGTCCGAAGATTGGGATAGCGGCGGAGAGATCCATTACGCCGTATGCGAGTATGGCACACGCTGAAACGTAGTCGCTTGAGAGCTGTGTAGTTTCAACACAAAGTCAGTGGAGGACCGTGGGTCAGGCTGCGGAACTCCCTACCAACCTCTAGGCACCTGGCATATTATTATTTAATGATTCCGAGGAACGGCCAATGACATCGATCTCGCGACTCCATGCGATTACATACATGCCATGATGCCATTTCGATCCGAGGCGTTTGCAGTTTGAGGTACATCACACCGGCGTCCGCAGCCTGGCGTCCTTTTGACTTTTGAGGAGTGAGTGAGGATCTGATGTCACACGACGTAAACATTTGAGAATCATGGATACGTTGGAGCGTGTTAACTCCACAAAGGATGTGGTGACGATGGCAGATATTCGCTGGAAGGTGGGAGTAGTTTCCAAGTAGTTTCCAATGTGGAGCCGAGTCATTATGGCACTCTGGTGATTGGTCCCTGACCTTGGAGCCAATCTGGAGCTCCATAGAAGCGCGAGCTATATTGGTGGTCAATGGATAGCGATAGCGATACACACCCCTGTTAGTCAGCCAGCCATGGGTCCTCCCGTACTGGCTGTGCGCTCGGTTGCGTGTAGTTATGCACTACGACACTTTTATCGATGTGTGATACTGTGCAACTCACTGTTTAGTTCATGCAACGCTCTTGACCATTGTTACTAGTATGTATGACAGTCATGACAATGTCACGATAATGATTGACAGGCTCACTTTTGCCACAAACTGCTGGGATGTTCTCGATTTCAGCCAGGCCAGTAACATTGGTCCAGATCATCATCTGCAAGGCACGTATCGCTTTCATTAGTCTTGAATCTGGTACAAGAGCGTGAAACCCACTTGTGACAGGTTTCAAATTCCGTTGACTAAGGCACGGAGTAAGTAGTCGTGCTGGAATGAATGTATAGAAGCTCGTATCACTGACTGTGCTGCAGAGTCTCCGGGAAACACGGCGTCGGAGAGAACGCCTTGCCCAGAACTTATACTTGTGCCTTGATTACATCAAAAGGCTCATTCAGACGGGGCCGGAAGATCGTGAAAGGGAATGATGAAAATGTGCGGCTTCGACTCCCAGCGAGGTTTCACCGGTAGCAAACAATCATTAATCAGGTATGAAGAACGGAAGCCGACCTGAATTGCCAACCGAGTAAATGAAGTAGTCAGATCTCTGCGACGACTAGGGGTAAGCAAACTCACGCATAGCAGACTCTTGCAATCGAGATTATAGTAGATGTCGGTTGAGCCGGTCATTCGGTAATGGACGAAGTATATGTGCAGTTCCGATACGAGATCCAATTTGATTAGTATTGACACACAATGCAATAACATTCAGGGGAATCAACGCGTACGGTTTGGTTCGAGTGTGGTACACCGAAATCTAGAACAGGCTGCGGATGGTATGTGTGCCACAAATGCAGACTTGCAGTTTCTACATCTGTATATGAGATGATCAGCAACATGACACCATATGAAACACAATGCTAGACCGCAAGGCCGCTCGACATAAGACAATGGCTGCCATTCGCTTCCTCATGACAGGACCTAGGTGCTACCTAGCTTGCAAGTAAGTGCTTAAGATCTGAGACACGCGGTTATCTACTTTCGCCAAAACTTCGATAGTCTCCCACTGTAAATGTAATTCAAGGGTTTGCATAAATTAATATGAAGCTAAGGAACTCACCCAAAGTCTCTCTGAGAACGCTTTGCCCTCAGCGCTTAATAGATAATCACATTCCTCGACGATCTCACAACTTGACATATACTTGCCATGGAGATCCTGCGCGTTTGTTGCTAGAGCTGCATAAACAAGATTACGACTGCCCATTTCTGACGTTCTTGCGCGAAGAAGCCACTTCACGAATGCAAGAACCATACGTAAGAGACGGTACTTTTCAAGTTCCCGCAGTAAAGACGAATGGCAAAATCCCGGATCAACAGCAGTGATGACCAGTGGAGTTGGAGAAGGAAGCCGGGCAGCAAGTCCGCGCACGAATGCGACCTGGAGCACTATGAATCCGTATTTAGTAACAGTGGAATCATTTTGCCAAATCACGACATACTTTTCGTCAGGTTGTACCTGGACGCCCTGTACCGACTCAATAAGGGTTGCGTGGATAAAAGAAAGTACCAACCCAGACACCCCCAGTTTCTCCGCACTGATAGCCCCTAATACATTATCCCAATTTCGTGAACGCGTCAACACGGGATCCGCAAGATAATGTCCCAAACTTGACACCAGGACCAGTCGGGATGGATCTTCGCAAGTCGCCGAACGGAGCAGAAGAGGCAGAAGGAGAATGCTCAAAAGGGCCATTGAGAGATAATTGACTTGTAGCCTTTTATTCATGTGAGCAAATTGGAATTACATGTGGCGCAAAACTAAAGCACAAACATCATTTCCCAATCATCCTGGGTTCGAGTATAAACTGGTTTGAATGTGCCCGCGTTGGCGACGAGGATATTCAGGCGTTCCGGCCCTTCTGCGTCGAACCTGTCAACAAAGGAGCGGACATTGTCAAAAGAAGACAGCTCTAGCGGCCACGAATCAAGGCTAGCTGGTTGAGTTCCAGAGCAGCGTTTGCAGAGGACTAAGAGCACACGCGTGACTATTTGCTAATGTATTTGAAAGAACATTGCACTTACTTTCCAACGTTTGCCTGCACTTCATTGTGTCTCTACATGTTGCAATGAGCAAGCTGGGCTTCTTGTTCGCGACATGGACCGATGCCTCGAGTCCTAATCCAACATTCGCTCCAGCTATGACGACTGTCTTTCCGTGAACAGACTCGTTTGGAAGGGGAAGATCTCGCCCTTGTTCTCTAAGGAAACTCCAGAAGCTCAACTTGCCCATAGGGATGGGTTTACGCTAGCTGAGTGTCAACGAGCTTCCTGGCATCTTGTCACTTTAAATGGTTGTTTGAGGCGCTATTTCGCGACCAGCTTAATTAATAGGCACAGTAGATGCAGGGACATATGAGGATGACTTCGCGAACATAATAATAATATGACGATCCTGAAGCTGAAGGTTCAAGTAATCATAGTAAGTTACGATATTCCGTGTCGCACTCACATTGAACTATGTTGAAAGTCTAGTGGATGTCAGTTGCCTCAAAAAATAACGACTGAGGAACGGCGAACAGATCTGTGTTCATGAACGGTTTGTCTTTTGTCAGATAGCTTGTACTCTCAGTAGAGGGGATGATCATGTCGCAAGTATTGGGTCGTAATTATTGATTATTACGTAAGTACATAATAGCGGACTTATAAAAACAAATTGCGTTTGACTAAAAAAAATTGAATTGTGGAACTCGGTTTTTCAGCGGGTGAGTGCGTGGACCGACCTTATACAAGGCCAGATCGGCTTATCCGAGCCCCTCAGGCTGGAGCTGCATGGGCAAATGCAACATGGAAAACGAGATTTTAGCCCCACCGTAATCCGATCACGCGAGGGTGTCTGGGTATATATCCCGACGTGGTACAGACATAGGACCTATTACAGATCAACATACACGAAGTTCGGGCGTCTGGGAGTCGCCGCTAAGACCACTGCTAACCCCGATGTAAACTGTCCTAACCCGACCCAATGCCGCGGCAGCCTTGAGTTTTACTTTCTTTCCACCGCGTTGACACTTGATATCTACCATTTGAAAAGACGACATCTTCACAACCCGACCCTCGAGTTTATTTGAGGTGAGTTCCTTTGTTTTTTTTTTTCCCTGCCAAGTCCTTTCAAAGTTTGAACAGCCTGAGAACCATCATGCAACCTCGTAACAGCTTATCACGTTGCCCACCTGTTCCAGCTGCCTTTGAGCTAATCGCTCGCGCGTATCTCAGCGGTCGCGAGGTGACGTTTCTGGTGCAAGTCGCGGTTCTTGATGACTAACTCAGCTGCTTGCCAGTGCCACTTATTCAAGGAAAAGGCACTTTGAAGCCTGAAGCTATCAAGGCCACAATTTCGACCGTCGTTTTCTTCATCGTTATGTAGTACTAACTGGAAGAGCTGCTCTTTTGATCGAAATTCATTTATAGCTCATATAGTCATTCCTTTGGGTCGAACTGTTGGGCGGTTGTCAAGTGCCAGTCAGCACTTTCCACTATTTATGTTTTCCTCTTCTGTTGATGCATTTACTAAGCCCAAAAGCAGGCTCTGGGCGACAAGGTCAGCATCAGATCTATCTGATGAGTCTGCTTGGCAGATGGGCTTAGCTTACTTGATCCAGTCTGATATGTTGACAGGTACATGCACAATTTATCACTCTTTGTTATCTACGCTTAGGTTGACAAATAATGGCCACTGGCGTCGAGCAAGGCCCCGGTTTTAGCGGGGAAACGGTAAGTTTCCGCTATAAGTTGGAAATCCTGATCCAATCCCCAGCGCTTGGGACTAGTTACACGGGGAGCGGGAATTCCTGTAAGCACCTATATTTGCCTGATACAGAACCGCCTTCCTCAGATAAAAGTAGACCACATGTTGCTTAATTCACTTCCGATCAGGGATTCCTCCCCAATTATCTGCTACTTCTAGTTCAATGCCCCCATGGGGATGACAACTCGTTTCCGCAACGGAATATCAATTGAAACTTAATGCATCGGGCATCGGGCCATGATACGCCAGAATGAAACAAACTGATATACATGACACAAAGTTAGTTTCTATATAACCTTTGGTGCATTCGTTTACATAGGCCGTAAGCAGTCGGTTTAGCGACGCCTAGTGGTTTGCGCGTGCTGGAGTCTGCTGTAAGTGAGGTAACGCACGTAGTACCTTAGGAGCCGATGTACTTCGGAAGGGCAACGCCGCAAGGCGCCCACTTCCTGTTCATTTCGGGTACGACGCGTTGACGTTTTAACATTGCATTCTAATAAATACACGCAAATATGCTGTTCTATTGTATTTATACCGTAGAATGCATTGCCATGAGGTTCAAATCATGGCCCAAACACTTGCACTCGCCCTTCTATCGCTCGTGTCGTTCGTGGTAGTGCGATCCTTGCAAAGAAGAGAGACACTAAAGGGCTTCCTCTACCCCCTGGTCCTCCACCTCTCCCCTTTGTCGGAAACGTGGTCGGAATTGACTCAGATCATCCATGGTTGGCGTACTCAAGATGGGGATCTAAATATGGTGCGTATAGAATCACTATAACTGCTTGGTGTATGTGGATGTGCTGATTTGCGAGATAGGGGAAATCGTTTACTCTCGACTCTTCAGTCAGGATATCATAATCATCAACTCCGAAAGAGTTGCGCATGACTTGCTCGACCGTCGTTCACAGAATTATTCCACGAGACCCACGGGGGTCATGCACGTTCTTGACTTGTGAGTCCCTTCTATCGCTTTATGTCCTTATTGTTCAATGAGTCTTAGTTTTGGTGTCGAGTTCTCCTCCATCTTTCTACCCTACTCGGACAGGTGGAGACTTCGTTAGTGTATCCTTTCGAATTCTTTTATCGCGCTTATAATGTATTTACAGATAGGCGAATTTTCCATCAGGCCTTCCGTTCAGAAGCAGCGTCATCCTTCCGTCCGATTCAAATGCGCAACGCCCATCATTTGATACTAAATTTACTAGCCTCTCCTGAGCCGTATGGAACCCATTTGCACACGTTAGTAATATCTGTTTCATGTGTCATGCGGCTAAACCATACTTTCTACATTCTAGCTTCAGCACGTCTATCATCATGTCAGTCACGTATGATTATTCTACAGCGCCTCTCGATGATCCTTTCATTGCGCTTGTCGAGCGTTCACTTGAAATATCTGTAAGAGAACTCAGGCCTGAGGTCGCAGCTCTTGTAGCAGAGTTCCCGATATGTACGTATTATTCAGTGACGCTGACTTCGCTCAGCTGTAGTTCTATTCTAATGCACTCACAGTGGAAAAACTTCCTTCCTGGTTCCCCGGAGCGGGCTTTGTAAGGGGTGCTATACTCCAGAGATCCCTCGTTCCCCTGATTGTGGACACGCCCTTTGAACATGTGAAGAAGAACATGGCAAGTGCCGAGTGCCTTTTGATCTGAGTATTATTTAGATGAGGCTGATGATGATTCTCAGGCTGCGGGGACGGCTGCACCCTCTATGGTGTCGGATGCATTGAATCGTATGCAAGATAAAGCAAAAAGTGAAGAGGAGGTCGCTGTTCTCGAGAAAGCGATCAAGGAAGCTAGTTCATCTGGTTATGCAGGTTCGTGACGAATTTGCAATGATCACGTATACTTTTGACTTATCTCTATTTTCTCCGTGCTTCTAGCTGCCTCAGAAACTGTATGCTTAGACGTGATTTCTATTTTAGCTATCTTGCTGACAAAAGGCATAGACGACGTCCACTTTATACGTTTTCCTACTCGCGATGGTTCTATATCCTGAGGTGCAAGCACGTGCGCAAGCAGAGATTGATTCCATCATTGGAGAAGCTCTCGAAAGATTGCCCGACTGGGATGACCGGGCTTCTATGCCCTACATCAATGCCGTGATACGGGAGACACTGAGATGGTTCCCCGTCGTCCCTCTGGGTCAGTGCCATTGATTCCCCGAAACTTTTGGTCATTGACAGTCTGGATTTTAGGCGTTGCCCATGCCACGGTAAATGACGACGTCTACGAAGGCTACTATATTCCAAAAGGTCAGTCTACAGACTGAAAGCCCTTTTCCCGCTCTAAACTCGTTTGTCCAGGGGCTACCGTAATGGCTAACACATGGTGATTTATTATATCAAACGAACAAAGATCAAACTCTAATCGTTTTCTCCTATCTAAGGGCTATGGCGCGCAATCCAGAAAAATATCCAAACCCGACAAGGTTTATGCCCGAGCGCTACATGTCAAAGGTCGCCGTCGAAGAGTCATCAACGCGTGACCGTGATGATATTTCCTTTGCATTTGGATTTGGAAGGCGTGTTTGGTACGCAATTCGAGGTTTTGCAGATCGATGGTTTTGCCTCACCTTTTAGCAGTGTTGGAAGACATGTTGCAGATGCTTCCTTATTTGCTGCAGTTGTGAATATTCTAGCTATCTTCCGGGTGGAACGTGCACCAGGATGGAATGTCGGGCCTGATGCTGAAGGGGTGGAATGGAGTGGAGGCCTAACAACGTAAGTCATCCTCGGGATTCATCGCAGTTTATCTGAGCCAGCCAATGCAGACACCCTGTATTCCCGTGCAAATTTACCCCTCGCCATGCGAAAGAAAAGGTAGCACAGTTGATGAAAACGCAATCCTAAGAGCTGTGCAGGTGGTCTACTTGGACCATGGGTCTGGGGTGAATTCATATATTACCTTATTTAATTGTGGCTGAATGATCAAGTCATGCGGGAAACATGAACGATAAAGAAGGTTCCTGCCAACGAAGTTTAGCTCTTCCCTGTAATAGCTCTCGTATGATTTGATGCAATTCCTTATTGACAACGTACCAACACCTGGACAGGTGCAACGGTTGGTTGCAATGGGCTATGAAAATATTTCGAATTTCCACAAAATATTGCAACAGGAGGTACGCAAACACGTAGCACCCAAACCCATTAATATCTGCCGAAACACGCACGAGCCGAATGCATATTATATTCTGTCGTTCAGTCACATATGAATACTACATAGAAACGTCAATCCGTCGACAAGAAATATTGACCCATAACCCACTAACTGGGACTTAAATTAAACCGCTCCTGTCCATGGAGATAGGGCGATTACCGGTCCTGAAGGTCGTTCAGGAGACGGAGGATGTAGAGGACTGCGAAAGCGATGATCAGTAAACACAATCTCATAGGCCCGTCGAGATGACGTACAAAGGTTGATAAAACTAGAAAGTAGGCGTTTCGTCAGCTAAAAAAGCGTGATTACGCTAAAGGACTTACTCAAGGTACAAACTGATGGAGCCCATGATGAACTCATCAGGTGAGAGGCGCTTGTTGATGTTATACGTGTCGTAGACGATGTAGCCGCTGAAGATAAGACATCCACCAATAGCAAATATGATGTCCATCGTGCTACTGAAAGGGATAAAGATGCCAACCATGCCGGTCATTACTGCGGAAGAATATGAATTTCAAGTCTAGATATGAAATATGACGCATACTCAATGCGACTAGACCGCCAAAAAGCCAGGGGCCGAGACCGGAGAAGTCATACTGAACGATCATCATCAGAATCGAGTGGCATTAGATCAATTCGAAAAGCATACCTTCGACTGGAAAGTGAACAGAGTCAAGCCCAAGAATACACCGAGCGTGATCAGTCTGACAAATTGCTCAGCCTTGAGCAGAACGAAGAGATCGATCGGAACATACAGTGCTTGCAGAACAATGATGTTATCAAAAAACGCAGTTACGACGCCGAGCGTGAACGCTTCCATTACCGTAAAGGTGGACAGCAGTACCAGGTTAAGGGGATGGCTATGACGCTTCCAGTACAGCAATCCAAGGTTGATTAGGGTACCAAAAAGGGGGACATAGAATGACCAGGTGCTGAGAAGCATCATAAGTAACCCAGCGGTGCTCCATTTCAAAGCATGAGGACATACTGTGTTGTAACCCAAGTTATAGCCTCAAATGACTGGGAGATTCCGCCGGCGACAACGCAAGTGGCGAGCTGGAGATGAACGTGAGTATATGCTCGGAAACCAGTGCAAAGCACTCCGTACAATCTGGCAGACTGTAGTAGGCAACTTGATGAGCAAAATCTACAACAGAAGAGACACATGCACATACACAGAATAGTGTAAACCTTGCGAACAAATGCGCTTCGAATTTCCTGAGAGCTCTCAGAGACTGTAACGCCGTACTAGCAGAAGGAGTGTCAGGAGAGCCATACAGATCATAGTTTCTCTTTGAAGATATACCTTGAAGTCGTCAGGAAGGTCGCCTTGTTGAGGCTGATCATAGATCCCACCCCCCGGGGACCTGGAGCGACCGAGCAACGGCGAATGTACATCGTCATCAGAAGTAGGAGCAGGCTTTCTAGACGAGCCTGACGGTAAGTACGATGGTGGTGGAACTGGGTACTGGCTTGAGCTCATTGCAGAGAGAGATAAATGGTGTGAAGCAACCACTGCGGCAGAGGCTGATGAACTCAATATGAACACCCAAACCTTGCTGAATAATAAGATGTGGCTGTGCTTGTCATCGGTTTGAGCACCATTTGCCAAGCTTACTCGTGGCAGTATTCGTGATAGGTGGCAGACACATTTTGGTCATTCAATATTATCCGGCTAGACGATGCAGTGATATCCGATGATACAGCCCAATGACATATTTCACCAGATTCTCCAAATCTCCTTCATGTACTTCCAACCGCTCACTGAAACATTATCCGAAACGTGTCAGGCGTGGGCAGCTTGAGGAGGTCCTGGGTCATCAGAGATTCTTGCAGGATCAGGAGCAGCTGCGGGCGTGCTGGTCGGACTGGGAGCAGGGTCAGCTTGGGAGTGTGCCACAGCTTCCCCTGCAGGAGCACTTCCGGAACCGTAGTCTGCGTTCTTGATCGCCCGCTCCATGATCACTCCTCGTCCGGTCTTCTTCTGCCTTCTAGAGATCGGCGGCTTCGGCTTCTCGTGCGGCTCAGCTAGACGAATGGACCCTGGCCCAGTATGACCAAGAACCATCCGTTGATCACCCTCGCCAACCTTCTTTCCTTGGTAAAGTCTATTGTGTTGGTGGGAAGGATGTGATATGTGGGGGATGCCTGCGGTGTCTGGGAAGGCACTGCGTACCGCGAGGTTGGAGTTAGGCATGGCATGGACGGCATGGATGGTGGCCGTGGCGAGGGCAGTAACAAGAATGAATGCACGCATGGTTTGATGAAAACGAGGGTGAAATGGATTATAATAGTGGAGTGAACGTTGAAGACAAGATTAGGGTGGGTAGAAAGGTTCAGGCTGACCAAATTTTATGTCTCCGGCCGGGAGGCTGACAGGCATCCGCATCAGCCTAGGCTTGTGAGGCTGACATTTTTGGCCGAGCAGTAGTCTGCCGCACCCTGTGCATATTGTTATTCATATCATCTAACTCAATGTAGAAGTGAGAAATAGGCCACCGACGACCTGGCACGGTGGAACAGACCACCGAATCACGGGTGTTCATACAAGTCCGTGGGCTCCCAGAACTGAGCTGCGGTACAAGTAGCTCCTGAGGCCAATGGAACCCCGGATCGCCGGACGGTCATTGCGGATCAGTCACAAGCTCTGCGTTTTCAGCAGTGCAGGTGAAAACACAGAGCTTTTAATTGATTCCTGACCTGTCATCAATTAAAAGTGTTCCTCAACCCTGTCAACAATATACGTCACATGCACTGCACTAGATGAAACCATTGGATTACCGATGGTGGAAGTTTGAAGAAAATACCCGGAAAATGAGGACAAATATGGTACTGGTACTTGCCACGAATAAACACAACGCTAGTGCGTGGGCAGAGTGCTTATCTGCACAGTGAAGTCACAGGGGTGCAAAAGGCCGCAACATGCGGGTAGGTGGTGTTGGGCACCTGGCCGGTGGCTTGCTCTGACTTTGGGGCATGGAGAGCGATGCCTAGATCAGCAACAGCTTGCGGGACGAGAGAGATACGTAGGCAATGCGTCTATGAAATGTTCATTCTCAGTGTCACGAATGTGGGGCGCTCGACTTGGGGCAGGGATGAGCTTCAGAAGTGTGGCCAGTTCAAATTTTTAGAACACACCTTGGCACGCCTCTAATAAAGATACGCATAGTACTAACCGTTTCAGACCATCACATTGCCCTGGAGATACATGTGTTAAGTTTCGAAAACAGACAAGGGGTTGGAAATGCAGTGATCTGTTGCATGTTCGTCAAGACCATCGGTCAAGGTATCAAACAAAGTGCAAGAACATGGGGATAGGCAGTTGTGTGATCTGAGCGCTTCAAGATCAGCAAATCGCTCAATGAAACGATTATGTTAACGCATGGGAGTGCGAAAATGATTTGAACAAGCACCTTCCTTGTCCATACATCATCATTCATGAGGGTAGAACTTCTTCTGCATTGAGTAATTTTGAACGTGAGAGGATGACCTGGGCGCTTCAGACTTTGAGTGACGACTAGACCCGTAACCATTCGCCTTCAAGCCACAATTTAAGTGTGAAGGGGACACTGTGTATGTTTTCACTTCACCTTTGATTAAGATAAGGCCGCTGGCCCGGGTGGCAGACGCGACTAACCCAGCGACTTGTATCCCCAAAGCCGTCCTGTCGGCTAAGACTAAAGACTTGTGAGTAGACTGTATCGTTAGCAATGCCTCTCATACTTCTATTGACCAAAAAGTTTATAGGCTAGTCAGTTCACCAACCATCTTTGTCTCGTGCCAGTGGCAAGAAATCTGGAAGTTCAAAGGTCTTAGGTTGCCCTCGCACATATAGTTCCCACGGCTAGTGACCACGTCAAGGACTCGTTCTCTCGGATGCTGCTGCATATGATACATGACAAACAGGTAAGTCACGGTAGTCTCCAAGTAGTCTCCGTTATGTTTCCAGTCATTGAATTATTTATATGCAGGCACTGTATGTTGCTCCACGGCCACGAGTTAACGACCAACCGAGACCACGGCATGACCATTCGCAAAGTCAAGCACATGAGATTTTCACGTTGCCCACAGCGCTGCAGCCGATTCGCAGCTTCGAAGAAACGAGAAATTGCGATGTAACGATCCGAGGTATGATGCAAAAACGATACGAACGACACAACAAACAACGTGACTACAATTTGTTTTTCATAATCTGCCCCGTTGATCTTGCTCTGGTAACTCTTATTTTAACATTCATGGCATCAAACCGAATATGAAAGCACATCGATTGTCAGAAGTATTTAAGAGTTCAAATACGCTGACTCCATGGCAGTTTAGATAGTAAATCGGGGCGGGGACGCCGGGGAGTCGCATCATCGAACTTTGAAATTATTTTTTTTCACACGGACTACATGCTTATGTTAGCACATATTTACATGTGAACATGACCTTGCGGAGCAAGGTAACGTTCGAACAACTGCCTCCTTGGGTCAAACGATGGATCAGTACTTTCGTGGAATCTCGACACAAACCTCCCCATCGATCCGACTATCCCTCACAAATGTGACTATGGGGATACAAATGTGTACACCTCGCATGTGCCTGCCATCCTAAATGCAGTTGGACTTGAAGACCTCTTGTCCTTTCCATATGACACCCACTCCAGATCTATCTGACTAACCATATTATACAAACAGGGTATGCATCTCATCTCTCTTCAGGAAAAGAGGACGCTTACTTCCTTTATACACAAGCACTTGCTGGACGTACGTGACGTGTTTTGTCAATGTTTTTAATGTCAACTTATCAGATCGGCGCTACACGACGTGAAACCCAGCTTAAAGACGCTCAATGGTCAGAAGGATTTTTCGATGACACGCAAATATACTCATGCATGTCCTCAATTTTTTTTATCAGTCACTTGTAAGTCAAGGCTCTGTCGTCACAGTGTTCCCCTGCGCGCCGCTGCCGTCGTAATCTTGCCCCCTCACGTTCACGTCCACTTCTCGTTAGTCTTTCCTCGCTCTTCCATCGCTTTCGATCCAACAACGCCCGACACAAGGATTCATCTCACACCTCCGACCCAATGTCGTAGAAGTCGCGGCTGTCCGTGATAAACAGGTATGGTCACCTCCTTTACCATTCTTTACATTTAAATGTATCTCTCAGTCCTTATATATCGCTCCACCACGTAGCAATCCACAAGGCACTCGTGTCAAAAGTCAGCAACAAGCTCAAAGTCACTCTCAATCATCGTCGTTGCATCCTGTGGTCGCTGTTGTCCCTGCAATGACCACCTTACCTACAACTATCGCCACTTCCATGCCTGCAACTGACCAGTCTCCTCATCGTGCGGTTGTCATCGACAATCCTCATTGGCGCATTCGCTTTATGCTTTACATTTGTTGCACTTCCGTTAACTACACTGGTGACCATCATGGATAAATAATCAGCTGCTCATCATCCCGTGTCCTCATTTCTTGTTTGTCTTTTTAATTGTGTTCACCAAGCTTGGCATCCAGTCTTGACAATAATACCGATCGTCCGCTTACTTGACAAAATGCAGTTTCATCACATGCCATCGAATTGCGCAAACCTTAAGACTCTGAGCAGTACGTGAAGACACTGCATTGCTATGACTATTGGCAATGTATGCCAGAATCCTGTCTGATTGATATATATATATAGATATGCAATTGGACACTCGTTTTCATCGCAAAACAGGTAGTTCTTAAGTTCCGGCGTGTCTAGCGTGGGAGCTGATTCATTTTCAAAGTTCATCGACATCATCCCCACAGGAATCGATCCCGTTCACAATTCATTCAGGTGAATAACCCCCTCACTCGCACTCCTATCGAGAGAACAATAACGACTGCACTTTGACTAGACACGGCTCCTTGCGTAAAATCCAGCCGCCAGCGTCTTCCAGGTGCAAATGCCAGCAAGACGCCCGCTGTTTCTATAGAGAACGTTCCTTGTTAGACGGTAGGATCGAACCCTGAACTTAAAGATCTTATCGTCGTCCTTCCCCACAATTACATTCAATGCAGTCATTTATTGGTGGCCACCTCCTTTGTGCACAAGTCCAGAACGTGCGCGTGGCAGCTTTGCACACAGCTTGCACCTATCCCTTGGCGTATTGTCCATATATGAACAGCAATAGTCTTGTGATACACAGCATCTTGATGTATGGTATGGAAGCCACAATTTGGAGGTGCTCTTATCATTCCTAATGGGCGCTGCAGACACCTTCATATAGAGCTGGAGTTTCCTTTGATCATGAGTCCCGCCTCAATTAGACCCACCAAGCATGTGCCCTGTAGTTATGACATCCCCATCGAGATCACCATCGAATGTAAGCTTGATACTCGACAGCGACACTGTGCCAATCCCAGTAAGCCCTATCTGCCTCTATCCGGCACCAGTCGAACATATCCATTGCCGACCGCCAACTCCTAACTCCCCTTTCACCCCAAGGCTGGCATCAGTTGAACACATCCCACAGCCGACTCCAGACTCCCCTTTCATTCCAAGGCTTTCGCAGAGTCCGTGGAACGACTTATTTCCCACATTATATTCGCCAGTTCACCAACATCAATTTATTTCGGATAGGCATACTGAGGAAGGAGAGGACCATTTTGTTCGTCGGTGGCAGAAATGGTGAGTTTTTGCTTAAGTTGTGTGATGACTTGTTCAATGGGTTACGGTGCACAAGGGATCAGTACGGCAAGCTGTGGGTGCCGAATAGGTTCAGGTCCTGGTCGCCTTCGCCTATAGACATTCCAGGAATTGATGATTATTTCTACCTCAACGTCCGCTCCATGAACCAGGGAGGCAGGTTTCTATATATAAAAAATATATCATATAGCATGCGTACTGAACAAACTCGTAGGGAAAGACTCACTTGTTTTTAGCGACTTCAGCTCAATATTAGATTCTTTTCTTCGGTATGTTGTCTTGGAATGGATCGGGTGCTACTAACATCGATACCTGATTCTCAGCACTGTGTTTGTCGAGGTCGACTACGATAAACCTCTCGAGTATCCTATTCATCGACTATCTCAAAAGATGAAGGTACTTCGGTCCAGATTGGACGATGCACGCAGCCTGTTGGATGCAGAACAACTTCCAGAAGACCTAGTAACCAAGGCCGAAATTTTTGGCTTCAACGCATCTAATGGATGTTAGTTTTGCATTTCTTTTCGCGTCGAATAACTCTGATCATTATGGACAGACGAAGAGGCCGCTGAGTTCGTTGCTGTTCTTGCGACACATTTAGGAAAACTGTTGGAGGTCGTAGAAGCGGAAAGCAAGCAGATGTGCGTGCGCTCCAGTCTATCATGCTTTTCCCTTGTCGTTTATGACCATGTAGGGTTAAACAACTCGAAAAATTGTTGTCTAACAATCAGATTTCCTTCGACCTTCTCGAGTATTACTATGAGGAAGGGAAGCATTACATCTTTAATGATGGGCTTTTACAGAATGGATTAGATGTCGAGCGACTTATTGTGGGAACTGTTTCCCTCGCTCATTCATGGTCACCACTGATATATTACGTGAAAGATCTTGGTGGTCTTGAAGAGTGCCCGCTTCCGTGATGATAGACAGTGAGTATACGGGACCTTTCGGGTCATGACTGTGACATATTCTGACTATATCTGTTCAGGGCGTTGCTTATCACATTGGAGCATCTTGAATGGGATGGCGTTCGTTTCGAGAATCGCACCATGTCATTGGATTTTTTTGCATTTCAGGTACCGTGACAGCTCTCCAGTATCAAAGTAACCAATTTGTCCACTCACCGACTTTAGGGAACTCGAGCCTTCTCGTCGCTGTTTCTTCAACCCGTCACAGATGAAGCCCTTGCTAAAGTGACTGGTGAGAACTTTACCCCTCAGTTTTTCGATAGGATGTCCAATCATCGATATAGAGCGTGGAAGACTCTATCTTTGTTACAGCAGAGTCTGTTGTGCAGAGTGTAAGTGATGCGGTTCAGCTTCTCACTACGCAATTTTCACGCTTTCCTCATTTAAATTTTACAGATCATGACGACACACCAATGCGGTCAGTCGTCAGTAGCAACTCAACACCACGGACCAGGCGGGTGATGGTTGACCCAGTTGGATTCCACCGCGCCTTGCAAGGCTACAACCCAAATCGGTGAGTGATCTACTTGTTCCTTGTGTCGACGCTGAGGATCATCATAGACGTGTACCACTGCCCGTTGATGCCCAGGAGCATATCGCGCACCTTCCATACTGGATTGGTGGGTATGATCTCGAAGTGAACGTGAGCAATTTGCAAGATCTATTTTGCTGGCTGCTCAAACCAATTATGTTACCTAGCAATGGCAAACATTCAATATCTGGGATTTGAAACCGGTCGAGTATGATCAAGAAGCATGGAGCAAATTAATTATGGACGAAGATACCAAGGTGTGTGTGATCATGTTGGTTTCTTGGCTTCGTTTATCTTCTGTTGCAGGATCTTATAAGAGCACTGGTGGATAATGCTGGCTGTTCTGTAGGCGGTCTAAAGCCAGCGCAGTTCAAGAAAGGACAGGTGTGTTTTGAATTGCCACTGTTCTTTTGTTTCTCATTCAACTTTTCATAGACAATACTTCTCAAGGGACCACCAGGAACTGGCAGAATGACAACTGTTCAGGCTGTCTGCAATCTCCTCGAAAGACCCCTGCTCACTATTAATATCACTGCTTATGACTTCTTATACGACCTTGAGAATCTCATGTTGGATGTTGCTCTGCGCATATCGGTTCGTACAACTCACATCTTTCGATGGTTATTTGACGAAACCTGGTTGTCGTCTAGTTTGCAGCTACTTGGAATGCGGTGATTGTGGTGAAAGACGCCGATGTACGTACTTTCTTCGACACTTTGCCCTGTGTTATTTATCACGTCACCTAGCATTTCTTGGAGTCGAAAGAACAAGGACATAGGGTATGTTTTGGCTGTTGGACTCTTACTATTCAAGCCTTGATCTCTCTTCAGGATCGCGTCAACGCTGTTCTCAGTCAATTTGAGTCGGATGATTGTATCTCCTTCTGGGTATCAAGTACCTGCGACGAAGAACTCCTGACGCAATTTTCTGCTGGTGTGTAACCCGATTGTCTGACCTGCTTCTGCTTGTTAATGTTTTCCATTGAAGTTGTTGATTTCCCTGAACTGGATGCCGCAGCCCGACGTCATCTTTGGCTTGGCCACTTTGGTTTGAACAATTCTGCTTCGATTATATGGAACAGCGAACACACACTTATCGGTTCCTCCCTTGTGGATCAGAAAGAGATGAATTATTCATTACTTCTTCGTGAGATCAAGAAACTCTCACAGCATCAGTTAGATGGTAAGCTTCACGTCTGCCACTGATGCGGTGTCTGATGACGCTTTTAGGAAAGATGATCGATAATATTGTACGATCCGCGCGAGCACTAGCTGCCTCAAAGTAAGCCCGATGCCACGTGTAATCGGGCATACACTAATGACTATTTCACAGTGGAGAGCATTTCTCCATCCACCACATCAAAGTGGTCATGAAAGCACAGCGATTGGATCATCTTCCTTTATGGCGGAAACTGACCCAAATTTTGACACGTCCGGCGAAGGCTCTTCACACGAGTGTGGTGATTTAGGCGGAAAGCTCATTGGTTTAGTGCTACTGATAGACTTGATGTACTTGTATATATGTGTAATATAGCCTTCACTGTGTACCATTTGATGTATGAGATTAGATTGCAGACCCGATATCTCCAAAGAAAGATGGGTTTTCCATCATGAGTGGTCAAGACAGTATTCATTGACCCTAGTGGCATTCAAAGTAATTCCTAAAAATTCGTTAGCTCCCTAAAATCTCGGCAAAGTTCACTCAAAAGTTCCCTGAAAATCCTGACATAAGTGTGGTTTAGGTTGGCATCACAGTTGGACTTCAGAATGAGACTTAGTGGTAAAAAAAAAAAGCAGTCAAACATCATGATGCAATAACAATAGTTATATACATGCATATGTAGATGATACAACTACAATGATGTTTATGAATCTCAGCATACACAAAAGCTATTCAACATGATGAGGGCACAGGATGAAGTATCGATGAAGGTGCGAGATGAGAGTGTAAGATAGCGGACTTGTGAATTCGACGAACATCACGTGCATCAGTAGTGATGTGCCGGCCCGGCTTGGCCTGAAAACCCCGGCTTTGGCCTGGCCTGGCGGCTTGGGCTTTCAAAAATGCCAAGCCGAGCTGTGAGCCAAAGCCATGGCTCAGCTTGGGCCCAACAACGGCTTTTGTGTTGCGAGTCTTGTCTTCGCGTGAGGGACCAGCGTCGGTGACAGGCTGCATGTCGATGTCAGCGAGAATTACATTGTCATCAACTTCTCTTATAAGTTTGCCTGAAGCTGAGCATAATTATCACTAACTTAGCATGCATATAGAATTCCCTGTGGGACAGTGAAAAAGTTTCTCTAAACTGCTAAGTTGTCTATTTTATTAAAATTACCATAAATTAGAGAAAGTTTGACGTACTTAGCCAGTTAGTAAATTTGTAGCGGAGGGTTTTCCTGATGCTGTGCAAATACACTGGCTATGGCTCCATTAATTGTTGCCACGAGTGCGTCATCATTGAACATTAAATCTCTTGGGATGTGCTGTACCCACGTCATTCTGTGTCAGAGCATGGAAAGTTTGACTAGAATATCCTGCTAGAAGAATGCAAGGGGGTCCCACAGGATCAGTGAGACTTTTCAAAAGGGCCATTATAAGTCCCACTCTATCATATTGGCAAAAATATGATGACCTGGTATTTGCTCCTAGTAGACTTGTAACTAGTCTGACTGTTTCCTACTAACAAAAAATGAAATTTTGAGACATATCTTTGAACATATCTCTTGGTGTGCAAGCTGGCAATCATCCCATAACTTGTGTCTAACAGACTTAATGTTGCTCTCGCTGGTCCTGAATTGAATCAATTGATAAGTAATTACTGAAACATTGAATCATCAAAAGAAGTACTGAGGACTCAGACTGGTCTGGACTGGACTTGGGAATTGACCCTCACTATAACGACACAAAACTGTCGAAATATTCACAAGCCACGAACATACTTATGATATAATGGGATTTATCATGACCCTTTAAAAAGTCTCGCCGATTCTGCAGGACACCCGGGCCCTTGCGTTCTTCTAGCAGGACATTCAAGTTCTAGTTACACCTGCCACACTCTCAGGCTGCCACAGAACGACGTGCCTACAGCACATCCCAAGAGATCAAATGTTCAACGACGGCGCACTCGTGGCACCAAATGAAGTTCATCTCACTCGCCACTATGATCGTGCCCGCCACAGTATTTGTCACTACAGCAGTGCAAGACCCCAACGGCCTGCCATGCAGTGGTATAGGTGCATCAGGAAATTCTCACATTCCTTAATCTCCTTAATCAACTTAACCTACTTATCTCAAAACTTGTTTGCTCTCTCTCACATTATTTACCTGGCATATTTCATATTTCTCTAGTGTGAAGCATAATAAAACATATATATCAATATACCTCAACATTTCCTTTCTGAATATATTCAAGTTGAAATGTTGGACAAGTAGATCCACCTTTCAACAAGACACTTAAGTGTATTAAGTCTGTTTAAGGACAAATAAAGTAATGTGAGAATTTCCTGATGTGAGAACCTTTAGCCTGAGCATGTCCCGTATCTTGATCTCTGATTGCATGCTTATGGGCGCTTGCAGGCGATTATCAGTGCAGAATATACCCGGGTTTCAACAATGACAATTCGTATCTGTTCAGGTGTGATACAAATAGCCAGATTGAGGTCATGTCAAAGTGCACCTGTTCTACGTGCTGCAGTGTCATCAATGATGGTGTAGGCCCCAGGACCACCAAATGTGATTAAAAGGAAAGAAAGGGTGAGCTGGCCTCTTGCTTGCCGTATCGCTAATGTCATAGTAATGCATTACAGTGATGGCTGTTCCATGGTGGCACCAGAAGTTAGTAGAATCATTCACTGAAGACTGGAAGTGGCAGATTTTGTCTACTATGTAAATAAACACCATGGGAGGCCCTTGAACTCATACCACAACCATGGTCAGTTTTCCCACACAAAATTTGTGGGCAAGGTCAAGCTACCCCAGCTCACAGTCAACAACTGGCCTATACACCCTCTCATTCCAACAAAAACTGAATATATCTTTAAAAATACAACCCAAAGAATGATAGAAACCCCGAAGCATGCAAACCAAACACCCAGAACACACGCAAACCGACATGAAAACCACATGTTAGTACACTCACCCTTCCCAACACATGTATACCAAAAGTACACGTAAAACAAACACCCACCCATCACCCCCCTCACAATAGTAGGCACACACCACGAGCAGATTGAGAAACAAACCTATGCCCAACGTAAAAGAACACACCACCAAATGACGACTTGCTAACTAGCCACACATACTAACCATCTTCAGGAAGACACTCCCCTGAATATAGACACAAAGATCCATTGCTAACCAAATGAACCCGGCCATGCAATGATCCCCGACCCACTCAATTGACTCCCAGACAAATCTGCAACTGAACACGAAACTATAAAGCCCCATACCAATCTCCAACTCCCCTCATCTACCATACAATGAAGGACAAGGAACCAACTTCCCTCAAAACCATTTCCCAAACGACCTGCCCTTACCCTTCCACCCCCCGCCCATCATCCCAAGCCCCTTGAGTTGGTCTGAGGTACTTCCCACAGAACATACTACTAGATGACGACAACATGGAACAACCCCTGAACTTCCTGCCCAACTCCCCCCCTCTCTGTCCTCACCCCCAGACACCCCCACCACCCCACCGGAGTCCATGACAATTGACACCAAGGAAAGTGACCTTAACAGTTCCATCCACGCACCTGGTAATACCATGGTAGACCAAACCATGGATGCACCCCCTAGCCCCCCCCCCCACAACCTGCTGTAGCGATGGTCGCGGTGCTGGGCTTGGAACCATGGTTTTTCATACTCATGTGAACACCCAAAACATACGCGTACATGTCCGACGCACTTTTGCACATGTCTGAGCCACTCCGCATTGGACCTTCAGACATCGCATCGGCCAATCGCACTTCACATGCACTTGTCCATCCCATGTCCTGTTTATCCGAACTAGCCTCACTAGGTGCGTAGCTATTCCCATGCACGTCTTCTGACATTCGGACTGCATTATTACATGTCCGCAGCACCTCGTGTCTTATTACATAGGACATTGGACCCAAAATATATCGCTACTATCTTCGCCTGTAGTGTTCTGAATTTCTACATACTTACTTAAATACTCTGTAGTGACCCGTAGCAATTATTATCCAGTAGTTAGGAGCCGTTTCCCGACTCTGCGGATCACCCAGAATATTCTCATAGTTCTTAGTTGTATTGCGAGATATTACTGTTCATTCACCGTCATACTCCATCACTCGTTATACTTGCGCATACCGCTCGCAATCCGACACTCGTTATAAAGTTTCTGACCTATTATCATGAAGTCCAAAAGTCTGAAATCTCGGACATCGCACTTTGGCTTCGGATATTGGATAAGTACCCCCAGACATCATCGGATTACCTTCGGAGATCGTTTCGCACCATTAGACATTCTGTTCTTTGCATTACTGACACATTTTTACTACTAATACTAATTAGCAATCCCTTTAGGATTGAACACACTTGCTCTGCAAGTATAGCAGCATAGGTCGTGCTAAGATCTACCTAAATATTGTTGACTAGGTAGTACAGTTTCTGCTGAGCCCAGCGGAGATTTACTCTCTACACCGCGCCCAAACCGCGGAAGAAAGTGCTATCCTCGTACACCTTGCCCTACCAGAGGCAAACCAGTCGGTACTAAGCCAGAACAGAATCAACCATCATACCATTCTGCCACAATTCACACCCACACCCATTGGCAGTTTCCCTAAAGTACATATGGCACACTCTGTGCAAATGTTCGACCACCTTGATAATAAGGTACTCCTCGCCTGGTTCCAGATGGAGCACCCAAAATTCATGGTGCACGTCTTTGACCACTCAGGGAAAGACATAGCGGAGAAAACAGCAATCACAGTGGAGCGTCTGAAAGCCTGCATCTCCATCATCACAGATTTTGTCCACCAAGGAGCCCACCAGTCTGCGTCTCCCCGCCTCAACCCCAAGGTGGAAGGGGAGCAAAAGACCTCCCTGTTGGCTTCTTAGTCCACAAGATCTCTGAAGAAGCCAAGGAACCGATCTTAGACCAACACATATGGTCCTCTATGGACATCACCTTCGAGGTGCTACCCTTCAATTGCCCCAACCCCCCAGAACTACTTTTCTGCCTATCCAGCTTCACCACATTAGATGCCAATGTCATTCACAAGACCATTGTAGACGTCTGGGCGTATGATGACAATAGACACCACATTGACGGCATTTTCTCAATGTGTGGCTTCCCAGACAATGAACTTGTGTACAAAGCCACCCGCGACCTCATCCACTCAGTCCGCGTTGAAACCTCAGACTTCAAGATCACTGGTGGCATATCAGTACCCTGCTTTAACATCTTCGCAACCAGCCCCACAAACGACGCAAAAATGTGGACAGAACTGCAAGGCTTCCTCCACATCCTCGAGTACCCTACCAATCTAGATGGATGTGGAATAGCCGTGGCGCTATACCCATGCCAAATCTGTCACTCTCTTGCGCATCTGCGCGGCCTATGCCCATTCCCACAAATCTTGCAATGGAATGGCCCCAAACTGAGCAACAGGAATGCAGTGAACTCGTCCTGCCAAGCAGGGAGACCCAGGGGAGGCAGATCAGGTCGTAATACTTAGTCTCACCGCATATCACCACTGTTGCACCCCTCATATACCACATATATATGAATATGTATCAACCTCCCTCATACCTTTGGCAAAACCCCACTCAGCCCCATTACCCTCATTAAAAACTTCCCCTCCCTTATGTACTACCTTGTACCACAATCCTGTGGAGAATAAACTCCCGTCCTTACTCACGAATCACACGCCCACACCCTAAATAAGCCACCCACCACAACGAATCCAACCTAGGCCCAGTACCTTTGTATATCGGAGGAAGTTGTCACATCAAAAACGGATCATCGAGGTGTGATCCGTTCATCTCAGATTCCTTGCCCAAATTTACTGATTGTGCGAGCGAGACAGGAAAGTGGGAATCACCTCAACAAAGCATGGTGCATACCAGAACACAGAAACCTATTTAGGTTCGGACAAGTCATGCTGAGAGGCTGAAGTTTTCACAAGTAGTGAATTGAAATGTACTGGGCATTACTATTCATCGAAACTGCTAACATAGTCCACTGTAAGACGGCCAGGATATGCCGGCTATAAACTACAGAATGATTGTAAAGTAGCCTAGTATAGCAATCACCAATCCATCACTAAACCCTCCCCCACCTGCACCAGTCTCTCTGCTAGCCTTGGCTCTCGCCCTCATGGATGCGGAGGAGGGCCGCTTCTTACCGCTGGGAGGCCCCCCGATGACCATCCTCGAGGAATTGGAAGTGGACATTGTTACAAGAACATCTAGATGCTTGGGCCCCTACTATTTTTCTCCTTATCCTCCTCGTCTCTGCCCTTGCATCACACCCTTATCCCAATCTTGCTCTTGTTATCCTTGTCATCCTCGCATTCCCCTTCGCTCTCTACCTGTCGCTCCAGCAGAGCCAGTACATCTGGCCGGACCCTTTCTCTGATGAAGCATACCCATGCTCCGTTCCACCCTCTGACTGATCCTGTGGACAGTCCCCTTTGCCCTTACTGTCTGGACGGTAACCTATGATATGATGCACGCCACATCCCCTTTACCCTGTTTCCTTTCTTGATCTATGACTCGGTGCGCAGTCGCACATGTATACTTATATTTAGCTCCGCAGTTGCACAGTTGTGCCTCTGCGCATTTCACTTCCTGTTTCTATCTTTGACTCATTTCCTACTTGCATGTTCCGGTTCGCCTATGACTCACCTCAAATGTGCCTTCCTTTTCTGGTATTACCCTTTGACCACTTCCCTTCCCGGTAGTATGAGTTATCATCCACTAATACGCATCCTCTCCTCTATATAAACTCGCTACCATGTATCTTATTCCTTAACTTGAATCTACTTGGTTCTTGACCTCCTACTCCTAACAAGAGTGATCCTTTCTGCCTAGCCAGCAGTCTATATTCTACTTTCTTATCTGCTCATCACGGATAAGTCTCTAGTCTCGATCTTTACTCATCGACTTCGTCAACAAGCAAAGCCCCTGTTAACTAGTTGGACTTCTGTCCTTCTATTAACGCAGATCTTATGATTAACCTTTGGGTGTCGTAAGCCTTGGCAGATACACTTATCGTCGAGCCTCGCTTGACATAAGCTACCCGATTTGGACATAGGCATTAAATCTTACTTGCTGAAGCCTCACCAAGTAAGACCCCTAACCTTGGGCTAGCCCGAGGACGTCCTCGACCGTTGACGACACATGCTCTGTTTGAGCATCGCCAACAGATACTATCCAAGTCGTAACAGACATGCCCTACCCAGGCAAGAATCAACCCAACAACAAAACAGAATAGAGAACCCCAGGAACTCACCACAGAACATGCGCGGCAACCTAAACCAAAGCACCCACCCCCCCACGAGAACCCAAAACACACATACCCCCACTCAACATGAACCACACAACGGAGCACACACCCACCCCCTCAATCCCGATAATACCAACAGCCCACCTGACACCTGAAAAACAAGAGCCAACATCAAAATAGCAACACTAAACATAAAAGGACGCACCTCAGCGAGTCTAGGACAGAATCAGATATCAGAATGGACTGCAATTAACTGAGAAATGAGAGACAATAGAATAGGAATACTCTGTGTACAAGAAACTCACCTGTGCCCAGAACACCAGTCACAAATTGATGTGCTATATGCTCGTTGACTCCTCATCCTCAACTTGAGCAACCCAATAAGACCCAGCAACTCAGCCGGAGTAGCCTTCATACTGAACAAAGAAATAACAAACACCTCAAGTGCCAAACTACATGTCATCATTCCAGGACAAGCAATCATCCTAACTATAAAGTGGCATGAAAATAAAGTAATTAATATACTAAACATCTACACACCGAACAACCTGAATGAACACAGTGAATTCTGGAACACCATCCAGACAGAAATACACAGGTGGCACCTCAAAATGATAGACTTCATGATGGGGGACTTCAACCTTACAGAGGACCCCATTGACCATGCTCCAGCAAGACTGGACAATGAAAGCGCAATAAATGCATTGAGAGACCTAAGGAACACACTGAACCTACAGGACACATGGAGAATAGAAAACCCCTACCGGCGACTATTCACGTTTAGCAGCAACCATCAAACCCTATCACGGCTCGACAGGATATATACATTAGAAAATCATACCGAAAGCCTAATAGAATGGAACTCAATAATCAGTCAAATCCCCACAGATCACCAGATGATATCAGTAAGGTTTGCCCCCCCAGGCCTACCCCACATCGGGAAAGGAAGATGGTCCTGGCCTCCAAGCCTGACATCAGACACGACCTTAATAGATAGAATAATTAAAATGGGAATTAGAACCCAATCCGAGATAGAAAATGGCGCACAGCGCACCGAAGAGACAAACCCCCAAACCCTATGGCAATCCTTTAAGTCCAATATGAATAAGACCGCTAAGGATACCGCAAAAACTCACCTAAATAAGATACACCAACGAATATGCACCCTATCAAAAGACCTCCGCAAACTGGCAAACACAAATGACATTGATGCCTCTGAAAACACGAGGCTGAATGAAATCATCCTTGAAAAAGAGATACAACACCTACAAAAGAAAAACTTTAGGAAAACAACATTAAAAACACAAGCACAATGGGCAACACATGGAGAGACAATCAGCAAATACTGGTCCAGAATGAACCAAAAAAAAATACCGAGAGACATCATCTATAGGCTGAACATCCCCAACACCAATCGCTACACAACGAAATCGGAAGAAATGGCAGAGATAGCAAAGACCTACCACGAAAACCTCCAAACTAATGACTCACTGCACCATACAGAACAAGATAAGCGAGAAGCACGGCAACACTCAATGACAGACATACCTAATGAACAAAAACTCAATAACCCCCCAGACCGCATGAATGAGACACTAAGAGAAGAACACGTCCTCAAAGTGCTCCTCTCGTCAAAGTCCAGAAGCGCGGCCAGCATTGATGGGATACCATACAACATATGGAAACTACTACACAAAAAACACAAAGAAGCACAACAAAATGAGAAACCGAGCTTCAATATCATAAAAACAATGACGTACATGATGACCAATATTCAACTACATGGTATGACCACCAACTCCCCCTTCGCAACAGGGTGGATGTGCCCACTGTATAAGAAAAAAGACAGATCAAAAATTGAGAACTACAGACCGATAACACTATTGAATACCAACTATAAAATACCCACCAAAGCTCTCGCAATACAAGTCGTGAGTGTCATACACAAAATGATCCACCCAAATCAAAGCAGGTTCATCCAAAAACGATCCATCTTTGATCCAATCCATCTAGCCCAAACGATGACAGCATACACAGACCTAATGGAAGAAGACGGGGCAATCATAGTGTTAGACCAAGAAAAAACCTACAACTAAGTACAACACACATACCTATTCGACACTCTAGACGCCTTCCAACTGCCCCTGATGTTCACAAGCACAATAAGAAACCTATATAAATCAGCCTACACACACGTAGCAATCAATGGCTTTATGAGCTCACCTTTTCAAGTCACTAGGGGTGTATGTCAAGGGGATCCCTTGTCCTGCCTACTCTTCGACTTAGCAATTGAACCGCTGGCATGCAAACTGAGAAACTCACTGAAAATAAAAGGATTCAGCATTCCCGGCCTGAATGACCACATGATTGTCAATATGTATGCCGATGATACAACCATATACCTCTCAAAAAACGACAAATACTCTGACCTCAAAGACATCCTGAAAGACTGGTGCCTCGTGTCAGGAGTGAAATTTAACTTAGAAAAAACAGAGATATTACCAATTGGCACCAAAGTTTACCAAGCACAGGTAGTACAACAACAGAAACTAAACCCAATAGATGAACAATGGGACGACCTAATACACATAGCAAAAGATGGAAACCCAATCAGAACACTCGGCGCCTGGATCGGAAATGAAATAGAACACACAATGTCATGGGAACCTGTACTTGTGAGAATCGATTCGAACCTTAGGAGATGGAACATGTGTCAACCTTCACTGGATGGAAAATGCCTTATAACCCAGATGATAGTAGGAGGAATGACCCAATTCTTAACCAAGGCTCAAGGTATGCCCAAATCAATTGAAACAGCGCTTACAAAGAAAATCCACACATTCATCTGGAATGATTGCAAATCCCCCCCAATGAGCCTCTCCCGCCTTGAGAGACCGGTAACTGAAGGAGGCTTGGGGCTGTTGAATATTAATGCTAGAAACAAAGCAATAGAAATCACCTGGGTGCAAAAGTTCATGGACATGACTAACTCCCGACCAGCCTGGGCCTTTGTAACAGACTCCATAATCGACAGCATAAAACCAAACAATGTCAACAACCAAAACAACATAAACACCTTACTGACCTCATGGGACCCACCCACACAAGGAAAAAGAGCCAACCACCTACCTAAGATAATATTGTGCTTGTTAAAAACAGCCCAAAAGCCCAATGTAAAATTCACACCACTAAAACTGTCCGAAAACCTTAAAAACCAGATGCCTGTGTGGTCCCACCTAGGCACGCCCCCCGGAACATATCACAAAACAAAAAATGAATGCCTTAAAAAACACATAATGCAGAATCAGTTAAAGACCTTCGAGTAATAGCTGGAAAGCTAGCTAACACAGGCATCCACATCAACGCGGCCACCTGCACTTGCTATGATTGTGTCAAGAACAGACTGATAGGATGCAAAAACCCCAACAAATGTGCACATACCACAAAACAAATCATTGATAACCTAAATCCAACATTCAATCCTAACACATCACCTAAGAAAGACAACCTAACTCTAACACACAGAAGAAGAGAAAAGAACGCACACATGAGGAAACAACGAAACAGTGGAATCATTTTTGACCCTTTCATCACCAACAGAACCCACCTATTGGACAGCCTCCGAATCTTCACCGACCCAGACCGCATTATACCAATCCCAGCTTACCGCCTCCATATCCCTACAGCAGACCACGAACAGAACAGGAACCAAATGACAATGTACACTGATGGATCATGCACCAACAATGGGAAACAGAACACAACATGCAGCAGTGGCATCTGGGTAGGAGAAAACCATCAATTAAACAAGGCAATAAAGATACCCGGAACATCTCACTCCAACCAGATAGGCGAACTGACCACTGTGCTAGTAGCTATACAATCAGCTGACCCACTAACACCCCTAAAAATCATCACTGACTCTAAGTATGTCATAGATGGACTAACTACACACCTGACGGACTGGGAGGATAGATGTCACAACCCAATAACGAATTAACACTAGGCAGAGACTAGGACTCGGACTAAGGTTATCACAACAAAAGGAATGAGCAAGGACATCTTGGATTGCTACAATGATGTAGATACAAGAGGTTTGAACTAGAGAACTATCAATCAAGATGTACTACCATATACAACTATTGAATCTGAGATTGAATCTGAGATACAACTACTGACCAATCATAAAAAGGAAAAGGGAATCGTATCATAGAACATTGTAGAATGTTAAAGAAGTATCACGTGACCATATCTTATCTTATTGTATCTAATGTAATCTATTCACAATCAAAGAACTCATCTTCTTCATCAGTCACATTGAAGACACGTGTCATGGGCGCTAAAGGTATTTCTGAACTGGTAGACACTTTTACTGTAGGGTTAGGGTTTGACTTGGGCGCTGTGTATTGGCACTTAGGAAGATTCAAGAAAGAATAGTGATTTGTTAAAGGTACTCAGTGACAATAGAGAATGGATAGGAGTCGAAAATGTGACACTATTCAAGGCAGTGGCCTTCCATCTGCAAAGACACCCAGCCCCCACCACGTTCCAGTGGACAAAAGGACATGATGGACACATAGGAAATGAAAAAGCTGACCAGCTAGCATCCTCTGGAACCCTCCGCTCTGAACCTGACCAAATTGACACCTATGTCCCATGAAACTTCAACACCCAAGGAGCAAAGCTATCAAAGATCTCACAGAAATTAGCGTACATGAAAATCATGAGCAACAATAAACCCACCTACAACAGAACAACCCTCTCCCTCCTTGACACCAGCAGATTCGCAGTAGAAATGATATCATCAACCCTAGAAATAAATGCAACCATTTGGTGTAGCTGCAGGAGTAAAGACATCTCAAAAAATATACAAATGTTCCTGTATAAATCACTTAACAATGCTTACCGAATAGGAGAATTCTGGGAGACCATACCAAACTATAGACACAGAGCGTTCTGTAACCAATGCCCAGGGGAACTTGAATCAATGGAACACATCCTAACTAAATGCAATACCCCTGTCAGCAAAATAGTCTGGCAACTAGCAAAAGACACATGGCCAACAAAACACAGACCTTGGCCTGCCCGCATATTGGCCTCATCCTTGGCTGCAGCACCATTTCCCTCCCAAATACAATTCAAACAGAGCCACCAAATACTAGGGACAAGGCACATCCAAAGAAAGGAGCATCACGCCTCCTTAGAATCCTAATATTCAAATTGGTGCACCTAATATGGGCAATGAGATGCGAAAGAGTGATATGCGAGTCAACTCACAGTGAAGACTCAATAAAAAGAAGATGGGTAAATGCCATTGACAGACAACTACAGCTCGATCGAGCACTAGCAAGTAAGACTAGACAAGACACTAAAATGGAATCAAAAGTAAGAAGCACATGGTCAGAAGTATTATCTAATCAACACCAACTCACCCACAACAACTGGGTAACGAACCTTGAGGTTTTAGTGGGTATCGCGCTACCCAGGCCCTCGCAGACCGTGGCAACCAGGTAGTCAGCAGAGTCCCACACTATTTTACGAAAGTGAAGTGTGCGTAAGTAGCATTTTCCCTCAGATGACTTTCCAGCAAAGTTTCTATAAGTGTTTACATAGAGCTCGATGGAGTCAGTTGCTGTGTAATAAACTCACTTTTCCAAAAAATAAAAATAAAAAAAATAAACACCATTCGGACTTTCAAATAAGTCGCAGCAAATCAAGATTGCTGTTTCTGAACTCCAGCCATTGCCAGTGGCCCTGCGCATACTAATGATATATATCATCAGGTCTTGAGTCTGTGCCCAATGAGTCTGAGTGTTGACATGGACATGCCATGTGCTCCATTTACCGACAATATCGTCCTCTGTCACCACATCAACATCAGCAGAAAGTATACATCGTTTATTGATTCTTCAGGCCCAGGACTAGAGCATGCTAATCTCCTACTCGCAGAAGCCAGCCATATAATTTACTTCATGTCTCACCTGCCCCACGATTCACCTCAGACTCTACTCTTTGCACTTTATCGTTTGCGCCCTGCCAATCTGTGGATCTTTGCTCATGTAGAGATTCTCACTGGTGTCAAGTCCTTGAAGGACCTAGCTATCTATGGTTGCTCGAGTTAGATTGTATAATACTATGACGCTCAGTCATGTAGCCAAGCGTTCTTCAAGCTCATTGGTCATGGAAAACTCATGGTCATTTTTCCATGTGCTGGACATCACTTCGTATGTTTGATATTCGTGTTTATAATATGGATTATAATTGTTTTAGTGCGAGGTCAACAACACCTTCTGTTTCTCCTCGGGTGCTCACTTGAATACGACAAGACTCTACAGTTCCCAGCAGCGCCTGTTTTGTTTAGTGAGACCCCTGATCGAGATATGTGTGCTGGAATCTGGAGGCAGGCATCATGGCTTAGCCCTTTGGCGAAACCCTCGCTACTCAACATGGTTTACACCACTCAAGCAATAGCTGATCATGTCACTTTAAGTTGTTGATACCTTTGTCGAACATGAATTTGCATCACAATTGCCTGTGTGCTAGTGTGCAACTGAATGGAGGAGTACGAAAGGGGTGTTACGGTGCAGAGGCTGTGATGCTTTCGACTCTGCCAATGCATCATAAGTAGTATGTCAGAGAACGATAGACTTTATTTGCACATTAAAAAACCAAGCATTCTGCTACCCTCAAGCTCTCTCGCTGCAAAATCCCCCTTCCTCAGTGAGTCAATGATGATACATACAAGTCAGGTTCCAGAGTCGGATGAGATGGATTCGTTGTTCCATTGATGCTATTGGGTGTTTTTTTATTAAAAGGATTTTGCAGTCAAGCAGCAGTAGCCCTGAAGTGGTTTAACTCAGCAATTGACCGCTGTATGGATGTTGTGCCATGCAGTCAATGAATTCATGTACGTATGTTCTCAAGGGTTCGTGCCACACTTGTATCATGTAATTTCCACAGAGCCAGACCACATTATGCAGCCTAAAAGAAGCAAAAAATCTAGCACAGACTGTCATAGCTTGTGGTTGGTCCCACACATATACTTGAATGCAGCTTGGGCTATTGCTGTGGAAATTTTTCTGTCATTGTTTGCTAGGTGTTAAAAGAGAGCTCCTTTGGATCAGTTTTCCATATCACTCACCCATCATGGATACTACCCCTTGAGCTTCATTTAACGACCTTCCAACCAAGATCGTTACTATCATCGCAACATATGCTGCAAAACCCTCTTTTACTCAAGACCAGGAATATGAGCCGATGGATCTATATTCAACCGCTTGTCAACTTTGTCTTGTCTCCCATGCTCTTAGGCACGTTGCATTGCCCATAATGTTGCACACTGTATTGCTGGATTTCGAGAACATGCCAGTTTTCTTGCATGCTCTACGCATGCAGAAAGAATATGCTCAAATACATCCTTCTCTCTGTTTTGAGTGCGCACCTTGCATATGCAACATCTGGATCGGAGACTGTGGGGATATGCATCCCTCAAATGCTCCCATGTACAGCAGCTTTACCTCTGAAGCTGTGTCAGACCTTGACCTCATCGCTCCGGTACTCCTTAGTGCATCACTTGCAATCGACTTTTCATGTCTGGACATCGTGGCATCCTGCATGGAACTTGCATGGACCCACATGGGAAATTACGTGAACTGTGAATGTTTGCCACTTCTGTGGAGCACAAAAACATTAACACTATCAAGGGTGACCTGTGACTCATGGAAAATGGCAACACTTGGCCCAGGATCAGCCTTCCTGGCATCCATCACCCACCTTATTGCCCTCCCTTCTGAAGAGGATGACACATTTTTACATATCCTTTATCGGAGTAAGTGTGCTGTTGGAACTCAAAACTACATTATACCTCTGTGGATAGTGCACGTCCCGTGGGATGCTTTTGAGGCTCTCGAAAATGTCTCTTTGGTTTTCCCCCATGTCCAACTCCCATTCGCCATGTATGAATTTACTGTCGCACTGAACTTACATGTGGAACTATTGACATTCTCTGTTTCCATGCTGAAGGGCTGGCAGCACATCCCCACAGAGATACAAGGCTCCGCAGACACCAAAGAGGGTTATTTTTTGTTGAAAGACACTGATGCTGAGGTGTCCAATGAAGATTTTATTTCCTTGGACAACATTTGTGTTGCGGTATCTGATTGTCCGGTGCACTTTTGTAGTATGATGACTTGTGGATCTTGTCTTTATCCAGATTGGCAGAAAGTTTGGGCTTCTGGATAGCAGACTGAAGGGAGATGGGTGTTACAGTGATACAATTGATATTGGTACACATAGATGTTCAGGACTGGCCTCCTGCAGTAGATGGATGATCCTGTATATATGTTTCTTGGCACTGATTACTATTGGACTTGTCAATACTTACTTTGTTATTTGTGAAAGCTTACTATAACATAAAGCAAGTAAGCAAACTGTAATCTCGAAGCTTAGTGAAGCTCACATGTATTATGTTTCTCTTTAGGGTTCGGGATAAAATTATTCAACAAATTATTAGCCTGCTTTTTAGCCAGGTGGTTCTTGGGGAATTATTAACTAGCGGATTATTAGCCACTTATTAGTGGTCACGTGATGTTGTTTTTAGCAGGCAAAAAATAGCTAACAACCTTAGCTAATTAGCCAGCATCTCATTCCCATACTCCCAGCCACTCGTTATCGACATTGTCAGTCTCAGCCTCATTCCTGACCTGATCGACGTTGTACCTCTGATATATGATGCATAGGTAGCCACCAGGAATTATTAGCATTATTAGCATGGTATTTTCTGGGACGAATTATTAGCGTGTTATTAGCTTGCTAATATCTCACTAATTAGCACCTGGCTAATAAACAACAAGTTTTCTCCCAAACCCTATTTCTCTTGCAATGAAATGATCAGTCGGACCAGGCTCGTACCCACCGCAGCTGGAGAGGTTCGAGGGCAGTCTACAAATAATTTTAGTATTCTGCCTTGATAGATCACATGACTAAGACTATTCAAACCCAGCATAACCTTATCCCTCAACCTCTCCAGCAGTGGCTGGCATAAAACATTTGTAAACAAATGTCAGCCACCTCGATAGTGTCAAACAGAGTCTGAAAATGTATTAAATTGTATAGGGTATATGTATATTATTGTGGTATATCGAAATTAGTGTTACTAGTAGTATGGCATCCAGTGCACCAATAGACGATGTCCTCGACAACCTTCAGCTCATTGGAATCTCAGTGTCACACTTTCTGCTGGAGCTGCTTGCCAACAAGAAATATATCAATCATATTGCTGTCAAAGATATCCTACACAACAGACAGCAAATTGTTGATGCTCTTTCGATGAGTGCAGAGGAATCTCTGAGAACCAAGCTTAAATGGGCTATGGATCTCATCAAGGACATTTGTGTGCGTGAAATGGTGGTGCTGTCAGTGAAGGAGAGTGGTTATCAGTTCGATGTGGTACATACAGCACCAGAGCAATTAGAGGAATTTCAGTATTGAGGAACTGGCTAAAGACATGGAAAAATTTGCACCTGTAACATGGGACTTCCTCGATACAATGTTGTCCGCAAGAACACAGCAAAAAATTGGTGCCATAAAAGACTGCGATGAGCATCAGCTCATGGCAGGCATGGATAGTGATGAAGAAGCCTATTGGGAGGAGCTTGGTGAAGGAGATCTCGAAGGAATCATTTCTGGACTCGCCAATGATGCAGAATCGAGTCTCGAGAATCAGCAGAAAGCCAAAGCTTTGCTGGTGTGTACTAATCCTGTCAGCCTTTAAATAGTTGGTGATTAATCTACAGAGAAAAGTTACGGTTTTGAGTATAATGATGAGAAGCACAAACCAGAGATCCAATACCTTGCAAAGCTTGGTGGAGATGTTCCTGCAGTCCATGTACACCCCACAAAAGGTGATCGAGACGCTCAAACGAATGGTAGTTTCTGTGTCTGTCAATGCAATCTTCGCAGCTACACGCTCATTATTGGCGCAAACTCACCGCACACTCCACTCGCTTGGACAATCACTCCTCGCTGCCTATGTGTATGACAATTTTGACGTCGACCTGAAAACTCATGAGCACAAGATCAAAAACTCAACTGAATCACTGAAACATCTTACATCCAGCTTAATGTTCCCTCTGCAGCACTGCGCTTCACAAGAAGATCTCAGATGTTCTGAGGAGCTATGGCTGAAGTTGTCTCTCAACCTTCGAGCAGAAGTGTTGCTGAAACAGGGGTGGAAGGACTTGCTCAGCCTTCAACCAGACACACCAAATCTAGCAGGACTTACCCGTCGTGACCGCTTTAATTCCTGGAAGTTTCTCACCTGACCTCATAACATATTGACCACCATACTTCATGCAGTTTAAAGACCGGCTGCATGAACCAGAGCTCGTTGAGGGCATCCCCATCGTCAAAACACCCACTATGGCTGCATTAGCAATGGATGTTAGCAACTCTACTGTCGCTGGAAATATACAAAGTGTTATCAACTTACTCAAGCAAGGCGGGATCACGGAACCTGATATCTTTGATGATCCTGAGATCCCCGATATCTCAGAGGATGCCATTATGTTTCATGGTGACCTGGGCACAGGTGAACGACTCCAAGCAGTACAGCAGTGCTGTGCAATTGAAAACTCACCTTGGGATTGATTCCAACATGTTGTATTTGTCCCAGGAATGTTCCATTTGAAGATGGCGGCTGCAGACTCTATATGGCAAACATTTCTGCAAACGAGTGCAACACGTCTCGATGAGACAAGTCTCATGCGAGACGTGGGCATTGTAGAAAGCTGATTTCTGCTGGGCTCAGCAGAAATTGTACTACCTAGACAACAAATATTTAGGTAGATCTTAGCACGACCTAGTCTGCTATACTTGCAGAGCAAGTGTGTTCGATCCTATAGGGGTAGCTGATTGGTATTAGTTTAGATAGTTAGTTATCAATAATAGGAAGATAATCCAAAGCTAAGAACTACTTGTCTGAAGGGAAACTGTTGGGTCCGAAAATATCGGAGTTGGGTCAGGCGTCAGACTATGCATCAGACTGTTGGGAATGCGTCAGACAGTAAAGGAATGTGTCAGAAGTGTGTCGGATTGTTGGTCAAATGAGTGTTGGATGTGTCGGAGTGTTTCAGAGAAAAAGAGTGGATAGATATTTCACAATACAATCAAGTACTACTAATATCTAATGACTTCCATCCTACTACTGAGTAGGGAAAAGTAAGTAATGCAATAGGTAGGAAGTACTAGATATTAAATAGTGACTATGTAGAAATTCGGAGTGCTATAGGCGAGAGTAGTAGCGATATTTCAGGTCCAAAATCCTATGTAATAGGACATGTGGTACTGCGGACCATGAGAAAACATGTAATAACACTGTATACAATGCTTAGCAAGTCAAAAGGAGTAAATGTGCACCTAGTGGGGATAGATGCGACTGGACAGGACATAGGGAGGACTGGTCCGATGCACGGGAATGTCGGGTCAGGCATCGGGTCAGGATCAGACATGCGTCGGACCGTCGGAAAGTGCATCGTGTCGGGATCAGACTGTCAGACTCAGGTCGGGGTAGTCGGAAGTGCGTCGGACAAATACTGTTTGACATCAGTATCAAAATAGCTGGTTCCGAGCCCAGCGCCGCGACCATCGTTACAGTGTGTTGCGTCCCAAGGAGACAGGCCTTTATGGGTTGAAGCCAGGGTTTTGCTGGATGCATCAGTTGATTGGCTATGATGGCAAACATTGCCAGACCGTCGACAAGCTGCACGTCGCTCGCCACTGGATGACCAGGATAATATCTGGTATGTCCATTCCCTTTCAGAATGATCAATGCTGATTGAGAGTCCATGCGACCATGATGACTCACCATTCCAAACGACTCTGTCGTACAGAGTCCCCATGTATCTCCAGTAATGAGGTTGTCAACCTCTGCTTCCTTGAATTTTGATGTCATGTCTGATTAAACCATTTGATTTTCTCTCACAGTTCAGGTGGAAGGCAACTCTGCAAGTACTTTGCAGCTCCAATTGCATCCTGGATGCTATCAAAGAAGATGAGGAACTTTTGTGGTACTTGATCCCCTGGTGTCCAGCCTGTAGGTACAAGGAATCCCAGGTCAGCGTATTATGAGAGAGAATATCTAATTTTGCAGGACACAGATTTTGATATTTGGTCGATCCGTGGACATATGGACCATCAAGAGATTATCCGAACGCATATGAAGCAACCTCTGCACATCTCGTAGGGTATCTGGTGTGAGTGTTGCCGACATGATCATGAATGGAACGTAGCAAGGTAAGATGTACCGCAAGCACTCCAGCTCTTTATATTCATTGCAAAACTCTCCCCAGGATGTGATACAGTGAGCTTCGTCAAACACAAAGCCCATTATCTGTGATGCAAATGTTGGCTTCCACAGGAGCTTTTCAAATTCTCTGCCGGGCTTCACCAGCTGCTCAGGGCTGGTTATAATAGCGCGGTAGTGCATGTCTTCAATATCCTGTAAGTGGGGTGAGCCAGCTTTGGTGAGCAAAACAATACACAGACTTGCTCGGAAGTTGACAAGGCTCGCTGTCTCAGCTGATATAGATATACCCTTGATACCAGCTTTCCCAAGGAAGGTGACACTCTGGTGTCCGAGTTGGTTGAGTGGTGTGATGACTATTTGAACACCTGTGTCTGTGAGTGCAAGTGGTGACATTTGTTTACAAATGTTTTGTGCCAGCTGCTGCTGGAGAGGGATAAGGTTATGCTGGGTTTGAATAGTTTGAATAGTCATGTGATATCTATTGGTCCCGCGTCTGTCTATTTTGCATAACACTAATTATTTGTAGACCTCTCCAGCTGCGGTGGGTACGAGCCTGCAGTCGGACGCCGTGTGACTAGGACATCCTCCATGACTAAGCATCTTGCCCGCTATATATCTGCTCAACACACTAGTACTGTCGATGGCTATAGATCTCAATGTTCGTCTAATTACTTATTTACTTACATGTCATTCGCTCCTCCACCAGCAGTTTAACGCATAAAGTCTTGTATATCAGCACGTCTACACCAATTCAACATCATATGCAGATGTTCCGAGCTCCAGCGAATGGCGAAAAGCTAGAACTCATCTGCGCAATGGCAGTCGCAATCCGCCACAGGGCACATTCCACGCGACCGTGCACCATCTTCGCCAAAGAACCAGTCAAGAATATGCGATGCATGTCCACCGTGTCGACATGTCTGGCAGATGACGATTGCGTCATCGATTGTGTCTGGGATATCAAGTCAATCTAGCTCCCCTACTTGTGTACACGAAGGGAGATATTACCTTGGTAAGTGGCTTGCGACTGTGCGAGCCCAGCATCACGCGTACAATCTGGAACGATGCTTAGTGTCATCAGACAGACCGAACACCGCGGGAGAGCACGGCTGCAGTGCGGACATGCAGTAGGCTAACGACTCATCCAGTATCAGTACTTCTCACATTCAAAAATAACAGCACCCACCCGTCCCTTCTGCGTTTCGCCCAACACAGGATTCATTGGCTTCGAGCAATAATTACACCGAATCAAGATCTGCTTCGGAGCCCAATCAAAGGGCGCCAAATCCCCATTCAATACCGCCTCTTGCAGTATCCGTCCCCGCTCAACATCAAATGCAACTCGGTGATGGAATAGCTTAAAGCCATCCAACAAGTCCCTATATGTATCTAGCCACCGCTCCGCTCGTGCGTCAATAAACTTAGCAGGACACACATGGCTAACAAGAATAGCAGCAGTCTGCGCATCGCCCGTGCTGTCAACGTAGCTCTGTAAGATGTCCATACCTGAGGGGGTGAGCCCAGTGATTATGAGGCCCTCGATGTCACCGCGTGTACAGGCCTGATCGGTCGTGCGTGTAAGGTAGGACGAGAGCGCTTCGTCTTCCAGAAACTGGAAAGCAATCACAAGACGCTCCCGCAGCGGAAGTGATCCTTCCTCGAGAACCTTGGACCAGTCCTTGGAGATAAGTTGGGTAAGCATAGCACGGAAGTATGGATCTTCGAGGCGGACAATAAGACGCTCGGCATGGACGCGCAGTTCATTAGATAGGGTGCTTCCAGCGCTGGGGACAAGTGCTGCAAGAGTACCGGATACTAGATTGTGCATCTCATCTAGGACATCATATTATTATTGAACAAAACAAAGACAGAAAGAGAGACGACCGCACCTTTACTCCGCATTAACAGCTCCAGCGCCTTTTGATACTGTCGCGTGAAAACAAGCCAACATGCAGCTCTTGGCTGTTGCCCCTCCTTCTCCCACCTACACGAGAAGCTCAGTAATGAAAACCACAAATACATAAATGTTAGCCACCTTCTGATCTCACGGTTCATTTCCTCCTCTCCAATACCCCACCCGCAGAGATGCAACGCAAACTGCCTCTGCTCAAGCTTTTCTGTGCTGCGGACAGGGGGTTTCCACGGACGTCCCGAACCCGATGTCTGTCGAGCACATAGTGCAGCAACGGCAGTTGTGAAATCACCATATGCCAAATCATCAGGAGGCTGTCTCAATCGCGCCAAAGGGTCAAGCACAGCAGGAGTAGATAGCGGAGAAAGACTAGAATCCCCCGGAGAAATTTGGGGTATCGTCAAAAGGCCGTCAAGGACGCTAAAAGATGATGCGCTCGACTCAGAGACCTGAGGTAGCGGTGCAAATCCTTCCCATAGTCCAAAAAGTCCTTGATTTGAGAATTCATAGCCGTGTAATCTTGACGTCGGCGAGCATACAAGTTCACGGGAATCTGTGCGGGAGATGAACATCCAGAGTTGAAGATGCTCTGATGTAACGCACGATGTATCCAATCCCATAGCTCAGACAGCATCGTATTTGAGCAAGGATCTCCCTGTACGACTTGGGCATTATGCTTGGCCTGAAAGAAAAAACAGTGCTCAGAGCCCACATGACGTGATACTAGAATTATACAACTCACGCTTGCCAGCCCATATCCACGAATAGTGCGCCGACGCATAATCATCGAGATATCATCCTCCACGGCTTGATGCACGCTCCGTAAAGTCTTCCCTCCCGGTGCACTCTTCTTTCCACCTTGTCGATGGCCATTTGATTTGGGCTCCTCCACAGCCTCAGCCCTGCTAGCCATCTGAGCACCAGCACTACTCGACGGCACAGACAGCTCAGACTGGTCGAGCGGGTAGTGTCGGAACGAAGCTGGACTATACGTCCTCGCTTTTATCGGCTTAGATAGTGCAGATTTGACTTCCAGAGCCGGAAACCCATCTTCATCACCCCTCCCAAACGCCGGCAAACTTGTAGTTCGGTCACGCCCCCGAGAAGCTGTGGTTTCTTCAACATGTATGTCCCAGGGCTGTGGTGGAGTTCCACGGTCCTCAAAGCCCGGGAACATCTTGCATCCCAACCCAGCACCAATGATAAGGTCCCCACGTGGACTCCAAGACGCTTGTTTCGGCGTATCATGCACAGCATAGAGTTCAAGATCCCCATCCTTATTGACGACCATAACCTCCGAAGTAAGCGAGAATGCGCGCTTACTCGGAACAAGCGCAAAAGATGCAAGTGGTTTACGAAAGCTCGTCGCTTCAATCAAAAAACAACGCATCAGCAGCACGCACACAAGACCGACAAACCAAACACAAACTTTTGCGCGTATCAGAAAGAACGATCGCCAACGCCTCCTGCAATTCCACATTACCAATCTTCATCCCATTCCCATTCCCCGCACCAGCACTACCAGCAGTCCAAGGCGCCCAGGACCTCTTCGCAGCCCGAGTCTGCGACGATTCCATCGATCTCTCTTCATCAGAATTATTCTCGCTCCCTTGCGCCTGTTGCAGATCCCAAAACCGCACATACGACGAATCCTTCTCATGCGCTGCAAGCACGCCCCTCCTCGAGCTCGAAAACTCGATATGATCGACAAAAGACCCAGACCCAGCGCGTGGTCTTGCACCATCAGCGGCTGCATCTTTCTCTGTAAACATAAGTAGGGGATGTAAGAGGCGTCTTGCGTCCCAGACAGTTATGATCCCGTCTCCACAACATGCAATCTGGTGCGGGTCGATTGGAGATGTCGCTATGCCGTAGACTTTCGTCGCGACATTAGTAGTTGCTGGTACTGCGCTCCGGAGGTCGAATAGCCTCAGCCACCGCGCTGATATACCAGCCAAGAGCATATGTGTAGATTGTGGGAGGAAGGCGAGGGCTGAGACTACTTCTGTGGGTGCATGTTGCTGCAACACGCGTCCGTCAGTCCTATGATGACCAACTTCAGCACGCGCTATGCGAGGCTGTGGACGCGCTTCTACTGCGTCTTCTGTTATATTTGAGGTGGTGGGTTTGGAGAGTGAGAGGAGGGGCGTGGCGGATTGAATATCCCAGATGATGAGACTGGAGTCTCCCCGAACTTTGTCGAGGCCGACTGCTAGGTAGTTGGGGTCCGCGTTACAAAACGCGAGGGCGTTACATGACCGGGTGTTGCGCACCGGAAGCGTGACGACGGGACCGCTTGAGAGGACGTTATTCCGAGCGACTTTGGTAGCTTCAAGTCTGATGAGGTCGACACGTCCAGAAGCTGATCCAACAGCAAAAAGATCATCAAATGCAGGGTCAGGAGACCAAGCGAAACACTATAGATGGAAAGGCCAGGGTACTTGAGTTGAGCTAAGCCTTTCGAATAGGGAGCTCACCTTCATGAACTGCAAGTCATTTTGTGAAGTTACATGTCGAATTTCAGAATCTTCTGGTGCCCATTCGTACATTGTCATTTGAGAACCTCCTCCGACCATAAACTTGTTCTCCCATCGTGGATGCCATAGTAATCGCTTTTCCGCCTGGGCGGAAGGAGCCATGTTCACGGTCACCGAGCTGTCCGCAAGTTGAAGCTTGAAGTGATTATCCCAAAAAGGCAGTTTTGCCGATGGGCGAGGATTTGAAAGAGCCAGAAAATAGTAGACATTGAACGATAGTAGTACACTATATCGCGGTACTGTATATGCTCTACACACCATATGCTTCATCACAGTCTAATCAAAACCAATACCAAATTACGGCTAATTTTACGAAACGCAAATACTTGGACTCAAATTTAAAGTGGTCTAATCAACATCCATCTCCGGCGGCCCAGGAACCTCCTCCCCCTTCGGCGGCTCCTGCTCTCCCTTCGGTGGCCCCTGCGCCCCCGCATCAGGTGTTTGTGTCCCACTTTGCGGTGTCTGCGTCCCAGGTGTTCCCTCCACCTTCACAGGCTTAGGCTTAGGCTTCGTCAAAATCGGAATCGCGAAATAAATCACATCCTCCCTCTTCTTCGCAATCTCCGCACTCGTCAATACAGGGTCCACATTCTTTGGTCTCTCAGCTTGTCGTGCGTTCTGGTCGTCGA